GGGGGGGGGGGGGGGGGGGGGGGCTTTTCCTGTCGCCGCAGCTATTCCGAAGCGCCCGTTTCACCCCCACTCCCACCCCGCGCGCGCGCTTCAATCCACAGTGTCCCATTCTGCCTGCCTGCCTGCCTGCCTGCCTTAGTTTCTGGTTGTTTGGGAGCAGCTTCGGCTGAGAATAATAACTATTCGCCTCTTTTACTCAGCCGAAGCTGTTCCGATTCAACCATTAACGAAGGCAGGCAGGCAGGCAGAACGGAGCACTGCGGGCGGGCGGGCGGGCGGACGGGGTGGGGGTGGGGGAGAAACGGGCGCTTCAGGGAAGCTGCGGCGACAGGAAAAGCCCCCCCCCCGCTTCTTTGAAGCAGTTTCTTCCTGTGCTGGTGGAGGAGCGAGAGAGCGACTGAGAGAGCTGACCCAGAGAGAAGGACAGGCTTCGGTTGCTTCCTCCCTCCCCTTCTTTCATTTGTGTCCTTGATCCCTGATCCCAGCAGCATTCACCGAAGGCTTCTTAACATTATATCGGCGTATAACACGCATACATCATTTGCCCCCTATTTTCAGGGGGAAAAAAGTGCGTGTTATACGCCGATAAATACGGTATGTCAAACTGATTAAGCAAATCAGAAAAGAATTGGAATTATGGGCCAAATTGAAACTGTCTATATTAGGAAGAATAGTAACGTTGAAAATGAATAACTTACCAAAATTAATATATCTATTCCAAATGATTCCAATTAAATTAGGGAAATCTTTTTTTATAGAACTAAATAAAATGACATCCAAGTTTGTCTGGTTGGGCAAGCGGCCATGTATTAAAATGAAACTATTACAAGATATTAGGAGCAGAGGTGGTCTAGGACTACCAGATTGGGAGCTTTATTATCAGGCAGCGGTGTTGAGTTGGATTAAGGATTGGATTAAATTAAGAGACAATAGAATCTTAACATTAGAAGGACATGACCTCTTGATAGGTTGGCATGCATTTTTGTGGGAAAATAAAAGCAATATACATACCTATTTCAATCAACACCTAATAAGAGATTCACTGATTACAATTTTGAAAAAAATCAAAGGTAAACACTATACAGAAATCCCACGATGGCTGTCAACCATGGAAGCCATAATACATCCAAATAGATTAGATCTACAGAAAATGGTAAGCTATGAAGAACTATTAGATAGCCAAGGGAAATTAAAATCAAACCAAGAACTGAAAGAAAATGGAATTATAAATGATTGGTGGCCATATTTGCAAATTCAAAATAAATATAAAAAAGACTCAAAAGATTTTGGATTTGACAAAGGGCAGAACCAACTAGATAAAATATTAATGGGACCGGAACAAAAACTTATAACTAAAATATATAAATATTTATTAGATTTTAAAATGGAAGAGGAAATAGTCAAAAGTACAATGATTGCATGGGCACAGAATTTTGGATACACTATAGAATTAGAGGAATGGGAAAAAATATGGAATATAAATGATAAATTAACGGTATCTGCCGCATACAAAGAAAACATATATAAAATGTTTTATAGTTAGCCCCAACAAGATTGGCAAAAATCTACTCCAATATGAGTCCTAAATGTTGGAAGTGCAAAAAAGTTGATGGTACATTTTATTACATGTGGTGGATGTGCCCCAAGGCCAGGACATATTGGATCCAAATTAAAAATTGTTTAAAAGAAATTACTGGCTATCAGATTGAGCTCAGACTGGAATCCTTCCTATTAGGAATTATTAAAGAAAGACTACCGAAAGAAGTAAAATACCTAGTGTTACATATTATAACAGCCGCCAGAATAGCCTTTGCGCAGGTATGGAAAACACCAAATGCCCCTAATGAAGAACTAATAATACACAAAGTAGCAGAAAGTGCTGAGATGAATATGCTAACAATGAAATTGAAAGAAAAAGGTGACTCTGAATTCTTTACAATTTGGAATAATCAGTATAAATGGCTAAAAAAACAGAACCAAGAAGGGAGACAAAAATGTCAACTGAAACAACCCTTAAGAAAATAAAATAAAATTTTGTAAACTATATAAAGATATAAGAATAGTAATTATAGCTAAATATATTATTTAATAGTAGATAAACGCAATATGTATTATGATATTTAAATCAAAATTTTGTATAGATGCCAAGAATGTTGTTGATACCATGATGTTTTACGATGTAAAAAAAAAAAAAAATTAATAAAAATTATTTAAAATGAAACCAAACAAACATCTTCCTTGCTGCGCTGGGCCACGTGGGTCAGGACAAACAAACACTCAAAAAACCATTCTGTACTTCAGGCGGCGTGGGGCATGTCACTTGCCCACACACTCTTTGTCCGCAAAAGAAGCAGCCCGGTGGCCAGGCTTGCTGGAGTGTATGACTGCAGGCCTTTTTGGATGGATAGCTACCATTACAGATAGGGCCGTGATGGCGAAACTATGGCATGTGTGCCACAGGTGGCACACAGAGCCATTTGTGCGGGCATGTGAGCCCAAGCCAAACTTACCTGCACTACACATGCACACGCCTCCCAGCTGATTTTCAGCCAATTTGAGGCAGTTTTTGCTCTCCCAGAGGCTCGAGAGAAGCCTCTGCAGCCTCGGGAGGCCAAAAAATGGATCTTCTGGAAATATCGGAAATGCCTGTTTTCAGCCTCTGGAGCTCAGGGGAGGCCATTTTTGCCCTCTCGGGGGTTTGAGGAAAGCCTCTGCAGCCTTTGAAGGCTGAAAAACAGGCCTGTTTCAGCACTTCCGGTATTTCTGGAAGGCTCGTTTTTCGGCCTCCCAAGGCTGCAGAGGTTTCCCTCGAGCCTCCGGAAGGGTGAAAAAGGCCTCAAATGGGCCGAAAATCAGCAGGGATTGCGCAGTGCAGGTAAAGGAGTAGGGTGTTGCATGTGCATGTGGGGGGGGGGGGGCGCATTGCATTGTGGGTGCCAGCGCATGCGTGCTTTCATCACACAATAAAAAGGTTTGCCATCACTGAGGTAGGCATAGGTGCGCGAGGCACCGCTCGCTCTTTTTGGCCACAAAAGAAGTGGCCTGGTGGTCAGGCCAGACGTGTGGGGGAAAAATTAAGACACTCCTTGAAAAGAAAGCCGTTTTTTCGGAAGTCAAAAGAAAATAAGACCCAGTCGTATTTGACGAAACACGGTACTTCAGTGAATAAAGTAGCCATTCACATTTCAAATGATAGAAATGAAGGCATGTTTTCATCTTTTCACGAACAGTTGCCCCATAATGGAGTATTGCTATATTATATTGCAGAGATAGTATTTCTAAATTCCACACCAAGAGGTTTTTTTTTACATTTTCTTGAATGTATTGCAATGTGCTACATGTTGGAATATATGTCCAATTTATTATTGTCTTTGCTTGGTGTTATTTATTGTTTCATTTGCATTACTACAATGCATTGCTTATGATTATCTTATTTAGAAATGTTATTTTTAATACAAATGTACCAAATAATATATAATCTTTTTTCATTTTACTTATTTTAACAAAAGCCAACTGACAAACAAACTTAAACAGACTTCCTACAGAACCCAAAACCGTTTATCCTAAGGTAGCCGGTAAACAACTTACTTTGCATTTCTGATGGCTACTTGTATAGGTTACTTTCTGGTGAGAACTGGAATAACCCTGCTTTTCTGCTTTGATACTATTATGCTGTCTTCCATTCAATTGCTGGATAATAGATATAGAAAAAAATAGAATAACTTTCCAACTTTTCTATTTATTTAAAATATTAAGCACTCAGCTATTTTTTTCTCAACACAGTATTACAAATTAACAGGCCCACAATATATACTCAACAATTTTAACAATAATTGTTATGGGACATTATCTACTTTGTTTCTTTTGAATCTCAAACAAATCTAAAAATCAACTTCTCTGATATATACACAATAACTGAAGTGCTCAAGGCACATCTAAGATCTATCATTTCCTTCTCTGTGCATATACTAGTGTTCATATCATATCATTGTCATAATTGTCTATCCATTGCCGGATGAAGGCTTCTTCCGCATGTTTCCAACCAATATGGTCCTGAGCTTAGTTTTCCCAACTAGACCTGCAATACTTGCCTGTGTCATCAATCCATCTTGTTTTAGGTCTCTTTCATGGACACTTTTTATCAAGTGGGATCCATTCTATCCGAGCCTCGGTCTACCTGCCATCAGGTTTTTTTGCCCATTTCCATTTCAATTCTTTTACTCTCTTGATGATATTGTATACTTTCGTTTGTTCTCTAATCCAGTGGTCACCAACCGGTGGGCTGCAGACCACTGGTGGTCCACAAGAAAATTTTGGTGGTCTGCAGAGAAATGTCCCCCCAAAGCAATCCAGGCTGCACGGGAACACAAGGCTGCGCTGCCCACATGGCCGCCCCCCTTGCCCCCCCCTTCGGCCGAGCGCAAACCTTACCTTGAGTAAAGCCACGCAAGCTGGAACTGGAAGGTAAGACCAATGATGGGGGAGAGAAATCTGCCCCGGGGTGGCTTGCTGATGTTGGTGGGAAAGTTGGTCCCATATTCCAGAGCTGAAGTAATCACAGGACTGGCCTGCCATGGATGAGCTGCTCTGGGATAACTAAAGGGCCAGTCTTGTGCTACTGTAGCTCTGGGATATAGAACCTGCCCGTGGTGGGGTTTGAAATCTCCACCATAGAGGGTGGCACATGTAATGTGCAAATCTCTGGGTGGTGTAATGTGCAAAAAGCAGTGCAGCCCTCACTGGCCAGGACGAGGTAATGGTGCTGTTGTGGCAAGAGGGCGGTGGCGGCACAGGCGTGCCAAAACAGCGATGGAGATAGCTGGAAGGTGCGGCAGCACTGTGCTACTTGCATTTGCACGGCATCAGCATTCCACCTTCGCTCAAAGAGCCCGGCTGAAGTTTCCTGCGCCGCTTGTGCTTCGACTCCCAGGGACAGGAGTCCGGCCAAGCTATCTGCAAAATCTGCAAAAATGAGTGCTCGCAGAAGCAGCACGGGAAACTTCAGCTGAGCTCTTGAGAGACGAGAGTGACTCTGGCTGCTTCTTTCCGCAAGCCTCCTCGAGAGAGAGACAGATATAATATTTCTTTCTTTCTATGGTGAATGTATATGAATGTTGATACTGTGTTGTCTAGTATTGTAAGAGGTGGTAGTATAGGAGGGTTTCTTCTAAAGTCTACCACCATTTCTACGGTTTTGAGTGTGTTCAGTTCCAGATTGTTCTGGTTACACCATGAGGCAAGTTGTATAACCTCCTGTCTGTATGCAGATTTATCCTTGTCTCAAATGAGACCAATCACTGTTGTGTCATCAGCAAACTTCAGTATTTTAACAGATGGATCGTTTGAGATGCAGTCATTGGTATATAGCGAGAAGTGGAGATAGCACACAGCCTTGGGGGGGGGGCTGTGCTGATTGTACAGGTATCGGATGTGATTCCGCCTAGTTTCACCTGCTGCTTCCTGTCTGTTAGGAAGCTTATGATCCACTTACAAGTGTGTTCAGGTACCGCTAGTTGGTTTAATTTATTTAGAAGAGCATCTGGAATGATATTGAGTGCTGAACTGAAGTCTACAAAGAGGACCCTTGCGTAGGTGTTTGGAGATTCAAGGTGTTGTAGGATGTAATGCAGAGCCATGTTAACAGCATCATCTGTCGATCTATTTGCTCGGTAGGCAAACTGCATGGGATCTAACAGCGGATCCGTGATGGTTTTCAGGTGTGACAGCAAAAGCCTTTCAAAGATTTTCATAACTACAGGTGTTAGAGCAACTGGTCTGTAGTCATTCAGTTCCTTGATGGAGGGCTTCTTTGGCACTGGGATGATGGTAGAACGTTTGAAGCAGGAAGGAACATAGCACATCTCTAGTGATCTATTGAAGATTCAGGTGAAGATGGGAGCCAATTGGTCAGGACAGACTTTTAAGCAAGAAGGAGTTATCTTGTCTGGCCCTGTTGCTTTTCCTGGCTTCTGTCTGTGTAATAGATCTTGCACTTCTTTTTCTGTGATCATCAGAGGTTGTGAGCCCAATGGATTGGGGCCAGTTGTAGGAGGCTTGGCTGTTGTTGGTGTGTTTGAGATATGGGTTGTGGAGATAGGCTGTAGTTTCTTTTCAAATCTACAGTAAAACACATTCAGGTCATCTGCTAGTTGTTGATTTCCTTCTGCCTGGGAAGGAGGTTTGCTGAAGCCAGTGATGTTTTTAAGAGTTTTCCACATGTTAGCTGGTTGGGCAATGCATTAATTATTGCTTGCTGGAATACTGAGTTAAATGCATTTTCATAGTAAATGAAAGCCATGGACAGAGGCACAATGTACTCGCTTTGCCTTTCAATGACTTGTTAAACAACTTGGATGTGATCCATTGTGCTGTAGCCACTTCTGAACCCTACCTGCTCTTTTGGTTGTGCATCATTTAATGTTCTGAATATTCTTTTTGCTATTATCTTGGTGAAAACCTTGTAAATGTTTTTTTTTTCTGGCAAGCAAAGCATAATTTTCAAAAACAATCTCCCCTTATGCCTGAAGAGAAATTTTCAATCAGTGTATGCTAACTCCTCTAACATATGCCAGTGAAACATAGACACTAATATCACAATTGATACAAAAGCTAAGAGTGGTGCAAAGAGTCATGGAAAGATACATGCTTGCCACTACAAAACAAGATAGAAAGACCTGCAAATTGATTAGAAAACAAATAAAAGTATACAATATCATCAAGTGTCTGGTCATGAAGCAGCAAGTCATATGTCTGAGACAGGACTCAAGACCACGGAAAAGGTGGAGGAAATCAGGTTTATTGCGCAACACGTTCAGAGCATTAGCATGACAGATTCTGAACACCCAGCTGCATCTGGGGTGGTTTCTTTATACCCAGAATGACCTCATCATAGGTCTGGGCGTTTACCTTTAACACTTTCACAAATTACGGTCAACTGATTATACACGCATCTTAGGACAGATAAATGCAATATCCTGTGTTACGGCAGGAACACAAAAAGAGGATATGTTTTTCTTGCTTATTCTGTTATCTTACACCAACAGTAATTTTCCATTCCCATCCTTAGTTGCAAGAGAAGCAGAGCTTTACTTCCTTAAAATATAAGTCCCTTAATTTCGCAGCAGACAAAATACAGAAGTAAATTTGACCTGTAGGTTTGTTCTAACTTATGACCTAGATTTCTATAATGTCCATATTTTATATGCCTTAATTGGTCCTGCTTCAGTCACACAAGAACCAAGTGTCAACTCATAAATCATTCCTATGCCTATTACCATTAGGAGGCGGGGGGGGGGGGGAAGACCTGAGGGAGCAGTGCAGCAGATGAAGGACAGAAGCACATTCCATGCTTATCTTGTGGAGACTGTAGCCTAGGCTACTGGATCTTCTGCCCATGAAAATCTTTCATTGGAGAGCGTGATTGATGAGTGAATGTGTTACGTTGGAGAATCTGATATATGACAAAGCTAGGGGGATGGGGGGAAACAGGGTCATAGGCGATAGTAAATTGCATGTCTCTTGGCTTCATACAGTTTAATGCCAGTCATGTTGCTCCTAACGAATCTGTTGGTTTCTTTTGAAACTTGGCTGAGGCTCATTATTTAATTAGGCTGGGAATCCTGACAGCAAGCCAACTCTGAGACATGTAATTTATTATCATCTATGACCCAGTTTCCCCCCATCCACCCTAGGTGTACGACACTAAGGGCAGGTGGACCAAAGCACTCATAGAATGGATACCACTTGATAAAGAGCATCCACAAAAGAGACTTAAAACAAGATGGATTGATGACATCAGCAAGTATTATGGGCCCAGTTGGGAAAAGAAAATTCAGGACCATATTGGTTGGAAACATGTGGAAGAGGCCTTCATCTTGCAGTGGACAGACAGTAGCTAAAATATGATGAATTGCTATAAAAGAAAATCAGAAATCATTTCCTTATAATATTTTTTTCTTTGATTTTTTCATTTTTGTCTTTGCTCCTTTATTCTTTCCTTTTTTTCATTCTAAATATAGTCTTTGTTTTTATTCTGTTTTCAAACTTCTAATAAAGTTTATTAAAAAATAAGAACCATAATTTCCTCCTTTTATTATATATGAGTCTGGTAAATCTGCACTAACTAATTATTCTTTTCCATGTGTGTATGTGTGTGTGCTCCTTTGGGTCAGGGTTGTTTATTTTGTTCTTGATTCCTGGCAACTGCCTGGCAAAGTCCCTGCAATTTTCTTGGCAAAATTTCAGAAGCACTTTGCCCTTGCCTGTTTCCAAGGTCTGAGACAGAATGACTGGCACAAAGTCCCAGCTGGCTTCATGCCTAAGGTGAGGCTAGAATTCATGGCCTCCCAATATCTAGCCTGATATCTTAACCACTAAACCAAACCAACTCCACTAATTATTATGACAATTATTAAGCCTTGTTTAAATTTGGCTATGCTTTTGCTAGCATAAGAGAATAGCAATATCTTTATTTTTATGATAGAACAGGGTAACTGAATTCACACTTACTTGAGTTGGAACAAAGAGGGAACGAGGAGAATGATTGAGGCCTCCTAGATGTGCTTTTTGGGAAGATACAGAAAAGGTTTCAGATGAATATAAGTTGTAGGAACTCACAGCTGGCTGTGGCTTAACTATGGCTGTTAGCTTCTGATTTCCTGTTTCAGTTCGATAGCCATGAGATATGTTAATTAAGGCACAAGCTGGCATGCGGTATCCTCTGGAAGGTGAACTCCTAATGAAAGAAAGGCAATGAAAGCAATTTTGTCATGATCATTACTCATATAATTTCAAGCTATATATTAAAAATATTTATAGAATATAATTTAATATTTCAGATGGAGCATAAAATGAACTTGACTAACATACTTCAGATATAATAAAATGAAAGTTTATAAATTTACACAATGACAATAAAAATAGATAATAAAGAACACAATAACAAGAAAAAAACATTTTAGTGCACCTTCTTACACAATTACTTTATGTTTCTGAGGTTCTATGGAAACACTTAAGAAAAACAAGCAATTGTTTGCAACAAACCTTATTGTTAAACCTCCATGAAAATCTTCATCAAACAGTACTTCATATAGCACATCAGATTCTCTGCTGGCTAAAGAAAATATACATTGTAAGCAATATCATCAAATGTGAAGTTGATAAAGAAAAACATAATATTATTGCTTTTTACTACAATGGCAACAATTTCTATATTTAAAAAAAACATGTTATATTTATCTCCAGAACTATTTACAAAGATTGGAATTACCAATTAAGAGTTAATATTGTCCTCTATACTGGCTTCCATTCCTGGTCAATATAGCTGACCAGTTAGACTATATTCACCAACACGGTTCCCTCCTAATGGTGTGTATTATAAATTCCAGAATTCACAACTATTATGACTAACAAGATGTTATAATCCATAGGCAGAACTCTGATTCATTTTTATAATTTCTGTATTATTGACTTATGTGTGTCAATGAGCTTTAAGGTAGTTTCAGTCTTACTAAAGAAACACCACCAAAGACATGGTGTTTTAAAACTGAGAATATATACAAAGACATCATATCAGTTAACACACATTCTCATCCTTCCAAACAAGAAAAAATGATCAAATAACACACCTGGTAGCAATGTTTTTTCCTGTTATTTTATGCAAATAATGAATTAATACAGTTAGGGCTTTCCCACATTTGATTATACTGTATAGAAACATGTGTCCAAATGTTCTTTAGTTACAAGTGCTACAAAAGCACTATAGATCTATTTTCTTGTAGACTAAAAATAACAACTCCAAAAGTATATGTAAGAAATGTCACTTGTAAAACAGTTTTCCAATTCTCTCCTGTCCCCAAAATTGTACACTTTCAAAGGACTAGAGGCCCTTTTAAATAGCTTGAACTATGGTGAAGATATTGCAATAAAAGAGCAGAGGCCATTTTGTGTGGACAAATTCTTATGTTCAACTGCAGCCTGTGTGATTCAGGTGAATTTGACTGTCTCTAAGAATACCAAGAAAAGTATGATTTTATGATTTGTTGGGGAAAAAATTAACTAAACTATAGTTATCTCGCTTAAGTATGAATTAGTTAAATTATAGTCAAATGATTGTTTAATAATGATATTAGGATATATAATTGTTGATTGATAATATGAGTTATTATGTAATATAATTATTATAATGACTATGAAATGAATGCACAAAAAGGAGTGGTAAACCAACCGATACACTGTCTGTAAATTTATGAAGGATGATGATGTTTTTATGTTATGTTTTATGTTTTATGTGTTTTTTGGTTTGTTGTTAAAATCAATAAAACTTTTTTTTTTTTAAAAAAAAGAATACCAAGAAAACTATAGAGAAACCCCAGTTATAGAATTTTGAATTCAGCTCATTAAAACAAACAAAAAGATGTACCTTTTTAACCTCAGTTAAACTGGATATTTGATAAATATCCAGATGATACTAATCAGTATTTTTTTAAACATAGAAATCATTCACAAATCAAAGGCAGGCTTATCAAAAGCTAAAAAGAAATTCAGTCATACCTCCTTTAATTCCTATTATACTACCACGAAGTCCAAGGGGAACAGAAAAGTTCTCTCTCACATTCACAACACGGTCAAACAATCGATATTCTGCATCTTGATCTGGAAAAATTCCATGTTGTTGTTCTAAAGGCTAATAAAAACCAAAAATTTAAATTATAGCAAAAATATCTAATTATGATTATAATATAGAATAAAACTAGTTATATATGCCTCGGGGTATTAATTTCACGTGCAATTTTATTAAAATGAAAAGATTAAATAATCATGTAATGTTCTGTTCACTATAATGATCTTACAATGCAGGGATGTTTTCTCAATAGAAAGCAATCAGACTCCAAATCCACCCAACAGAAAATATAGTAAGTTTCATCTACATAATCGAACCAGCATTGTCATTTTACATGCCTTGTTCATCAGTTTTACAATATGTAAGATGGAGGGGAAAAAAGAGGAAGCTGGTATGAAACATGAAGCCTCCCTTGAGTCAAGCTTAACTCTTGATGACTACATGATACATTCATTCATGTTTCTTTCTAGTAGCAAATTGATTTGCTACTGCCTTTAATAAAAATTCCTATGCAACTATAGTTATATTAAACTTACTCTGTATAATAAGTGAGGTTTCACTGTCACACGCACTTTCTTATTACTTTTTCTTTGCTAAAAAAGAAAAAATAATTGGATGAAATCATTCATAATTATTGCTGTACAAAGTTAAAAAGTCACATATTATAGCCCACATAATTTAAAACACTAATAGAAAATCTATCTATATTCCTTAGCTTAATGTGTGTCACTCAACCCAATTTTAAAACTATTCTGTAAGATAAGTCCAGGAGTTATGTAACAGCTCTTTGACTCTTTATTGGTGCCTGCTGCTTGGAGGGTGATTTGAGAAAAAACAATGTGCCATTAAGAGAAAACAGAGGATATGACAAAGACAACTTTAGACTTTGGATACATCCATTGCTTGCTTATATTCTGACTTATCACACAGATCTTAATGGACAATCCATGAAAAAAATGACCTTGATGGAAAAAATTTGTTCATTCCTACTCCAAATATTTATTGATAAGACAGTCACACTGTATAATGAATGTTATGGGTATTCTAAACTATTCTGTTATTTAGAGTTCTCCAACACCAAATATTTATCTGAGTATAAAGAAACATAATCTAACAAGAGCAGTACAGAGAGAAATCTTATGAACAAAGCTTTCAGTGTAACCCTAGATAGATGTGACTTCATAAACTCAATAAAGTTTACCTAAATCAAGGTGGGTGATATAGATTATATATAAACAAGTAAGTCATCAGGTAAGCTGGTAAGGTCTCCCGTGTTTAAAAATGATTTTTTTATTTCTTTACAATCCAAAATTACACTCAAGAATTCATAATGTAGGACATTCAAATAGCAATTTAAATGACATTTGGAACCTAACTTAAATATATTGTATTAAGAATCAGATATTTTAGGTAATATTTTATATACCTTGCATTTGTCTATTTCTTCTTCAATCTTTTCAATGATAGCTGCATCCAGAATTTGCAAATCACAAGATGAACGTGAAAGTGTACTGACAGGATGAGCCTTTAGCCATGACATGATTTCTTGAACCTTCTCAGCACTATGTTAAAAATTATTCGATATTAACAATCAAGATGTAAAATCTAGCATAGTCAACATGTAAATATTATCAAGTGGCAACATATTATGTATTAAGATTTTTTAAAAAATATGTTCTAATGTAAGAAAAATAGATATAAGCATTGCCCCAAAGCTTAACAATTACATCAAAGCTGTCAAATCAAATTTGAAAATTATAATCCAATTAGTTTGGTGTATATAATTTTATTACTGTTATCCATGTGTTCTATGCCATATGCTAAATAAATAGAGCAACAAAAAAAACTTCTATAAAAGAAATGGGATTCTTTTTATAACTCGACCCCTGCAATTCCTTGGATCAAGATTATATATTTTCAAAATAACAATTGTGTTCTTTAGAGACAAATAGTATTTTGACTGCTTGACAGTAATTAGACAGCTGCAACCATGAAAAAATATGACATGAAATGTTCCTCCTTAAATCCAAGGACTCGTCTATTAAATTTGAACTAGCAATCTTCATGCTGATTGTCTTTGCAAGATCAGAAAATTTATCTACTTATTTACTAATCTACAAACATATGAACTACATACCCATTCTCCTCTTCACCTGGCCAAATGTCATCTTCATAAAATATATCTTCTGGACTATTTTTGGCTAAGTAAGTAAAAAGTTCTGGTACCCTGTGAAATAGATAAATATATTTGAGTAGATATTTCATATTTACACACATATATATCATAGAACCTCCACCAACATTAATTAGACTCCTATTCTCAGGAAAAAATAAGTTGCATGTAATAGTGAAATATATTATGCAGAGCTGCAGAGTTACATCCAAAAAGATGCTTTGCATTGAAATAGTAATGTAACACAGATCTGTAACTTTTAAAAACAGTTGAGAAACAATCATGTAACTTTCATGGTATAAAAGATATGGATACAGTTTTCCTCACATAATGGTACAATACCTAAGGAATAATCCACTATACTCACATATGGAAGGATTTAAAATTAATTAAAATATTTCTTCACCCAGTTAATATACTACTAAAACTTTGATTCCTCTTATAACAAAATGGTGCATTGTAGGGCAAAATGTTTGAACCAAGGTACAGTACCTCAAATGGGCTAACTTACAGAATACATTCAAAATTCAGGGCCAAAAAATGGAAATTTAACCGTTATAAAACTTCTAAGACATAAAATAATCACAAAGGTTTATGGCATAATACAAATTATCATAAAATATTCCTTGTACTGATGTTTGACTATAAGATACAGTTCAGTAGGGGCTATTTTCAAGGCAAGACATCTCTGAACATATCCCAGCTTTTCCAGTAAAGGCAGTTACATTAGAAGCTTTGTCAGTGTTGGGCATTGAGGAATCTGATAAGGAAATGTCTTTGAAAATATGACCCAAGCTGTCGCCATTTCTCTGGTATATTATCAAACTATGAAATGTACTCTCATCAAAATTGCTGAAGTCTGGGAATCAACATTGTTTTGAAAGAAGAATATATAATTTTGGCACAATTTGTCTTTTATTTGGTTATTTGCTTATTTTTGTTTTTAACTGGCCATTAACTGCCTGTAGTCTAAGTGACTAAGCAGTCATACAAACTGAAAAAATAAATATAAATATAGACCATAAATATAAACTATAAATAGCTAAACCCAAAAGCAAACCCAGTATGATTAATAGGTCAGATGCTAGGGAGAAACAATATTTAGGTCACTAAATAGATGAAATAAACAGAATGCTTCAATAGACAGCTGGATTTAACAAAGCTCCCTACAATAATGCTATATAACAACACTGGCAATCACAGGGGTATACTATACACACATCCATAATAATTTTAAGTTTACCTTTCTAAATATTCAGCTAGAAGCTGCTCCACTGCAGAGGAATACATCCATTCATTTCCAACTTTTTTAGTGTAGCCAGGGACTTCTTCATTCCTCTTATTGAATTTCAGATTTAAACCTACATTTGCTTTATGGTCTCCACGTGGACTGCAAAATAGATGTCAAATGTTAACTCTATCTATTGCAATTTACTAATATTCTAATACTATTTTTGCTGTATATTAATATTAATACTTGCTATTCAGTCTTCAAATTTATTGGCTGAAAAACAGCAAAGGATGAATATTAATAAAATCTAACCTAAGTTTGAATGATTTATTCAGCAAAATACATGCTCATAGTCACTGTTGGTTATTTCCATGCTAGACTGCTGTAACGTGATCTATAGTACATGAATTTATCTTTGAAGATTACCCAGAAATTACAACTGATACAGAATGTTAATGGCACACACAGTTGTGGGTACTCTGTGGTTTGCCCTTATTATACTGCTGCTGCCTCAAGTGCAATGACTCCTTGTTTCTTTCCTGGCATAATTCAAAGTGTTGGTGATCACGTTAAAAGTCCTGAATAGTGCAAGGCCAGGTTATTTGTGGGACATCCTCTCCTTGAGGGTATCTATCAGTCCTAACAGTCAAATGAGGTGGGTGTGCTCCAGGTTCCCTCCTTAAATCCTATAATTTGGCAAAACCTAGAAAGCACATCTTCTGTGAGGTTACACCTACCTGGCAGAACTGAAGGTATCAGAAACTGATACTAAGGCATTCAGTATCCTCTAGAGGTCTTGCCAAAGGTTGCCTCTGGAAGTGAGTGTTTTGATTCCTTACAGTTCCAAATGAAGCAGTCTGTATATTTACTTGGAGACAACCTAGGAAGGCCCTGAAGAAGTTGTGCTGAGCCTTCAAAAAGTCCTAACTGCCTAAATGCTTCAAGGGGACATATCAATATTATTAGTATCACTGGTCAGCTTCAACATGTAAAGTGTGTTCTGACTCCATATCTTTAACTGCTTCTCTTCTTCCTGTTTTCATTTCTCTTTCCTGATAAATTGTGCTCAAATTCAACCTATTCATGCTTTGGAATATATTTTAAAAATATATATACAAGAATAATTCCACACGGAGAAAGGAAGACAGAAAATTGGACAAAGCATTTTATAAAAGAAGTACTGTTGGAAAAATAACTTTAACAATGCTTTACAGTGCTTTATAAGGAATTTTACAAAACAACAATAAACATCCCTTTTTAGTAAAAAAACAGATAATGACATTTCAAACTCTTGTGGGTCAGACTGGCCTTCTGAGCTTTAAAGAGCCAAAATATTCACTGGCTCACATAAAGGGGCAAAGAAAATGTGCCTATACATCAGTGATGAAAAATTGCAGTGAGTTATGTTTTTGAAAAATAGTATTTGTGCACTTATTTCCTTATTGTGCTTCATAAAGGTATTGTTTCCCAATTTTAAACTAAAAACTGGGCACAACTAACATAAAATTGTCTTTCTTGACACTGTGCAATCTAGTCTTCTCTCTATACTAAATGCACACATAAAGGAAGAAGGTCTAGTTCCATTAATTTTTCTCTGTTAAAACCGATTTTCAAAGCAAATAGGAAGAATCAGATTAATAGCATTTTAACCTGGGTTTCATTCAAATATAATTAGATATTTCACTGCAAAATGGTATTATATTCCAAACTTACTTTCTCCTGGCTCCTCTTCCAATAAAAATGCTTCCTGTAAATCTTGAAACAAGATAGCTGCTCACTCCAAGGCGACTGGCCAACACATATGCAGGATTATATTTCACAGAATATTTCTAAAATATCAAACATTTACTTTTAATATTTGAGAACAATATTATCATTTATAGAAACAAAAATACGGAGCCTTTGGAAGACTACAGATTTGTTATGCAATATACTTCTATGGACAAGTCTTTACATAAGGAATCTCATAAACTGGATTTGCATCAGAGGTGGTATTCAGCCAGTTCGCACCAGTTCCGGTGACCCCATAGCAAGAATTTGGCCTGGGTCATGGAACCGGTAGCGACTTCTGGATGGACATGCCCCTGAACTGGTAGTTGCCCGATGGTCGCTCGCCCCTTCCGGATGCTCGATCATCTTTTCCGGCTGTTCGATGCTCGCCCTACCCACCCCCACCCTATATATATTGCCTTTGCCACGCGGCCCACCTAATCACCTCGCCAGTTGCCTTGTTGGTGTCAGTTCACCAAAGGTAAGCAATGCATGTCCCCCCTGCTGAGCCTTTGCCTTGGGTCAGGATCCGGGGCCCCAGGGACGTGTGCTATTCCCTGAGACCCTGGAACCGCTGGCTGCCTCAGCTGGATTGGGCAACGTGTGATTCCCCAGCTCCAGCCTTGCCCCAGAGCCGCCTACTCGCCACTTGTTCTCCCTTAGGCACGATGCGTCACCTATTTTCCCCTCCTTCAGAGGGCCTGGCCTGGCCCTTAATCTCGCTTCCTCCCCTACGAGGAAAAGTGGTCACCTCTTTCGTTGTCTGTGGCTGTGACCTTACCTTCCTCCAGTGGCTGGCTGCCAAGGAAGGGAAGCCAGGGCTGAGAGCCACTGGGCACCTCACCAGCCTGCATCTCGACCCCCTTGTCACAAGATGCCTGCAGCAGCTGCCTCTTTTTTTTGGTGCAAGAAGTCTCCCAGTTGATGCCTCTTTGCTTGCCGGAACTGAGCCGGTAGCCCACACGCCATCTCCTAGCAGAAAGTCCTGGGATCTCACATGTTCACATGTGAGGCTGGGACTTTCTGCAAGGAAAAGGCACGTGGGCAATTCCCTCTGGTGCAGTGGGCTCAATGGGGTGGACCTGAATGCCAGCGCTTCTGGTCTCCTTGCTCTCTTCCAGGTTCCAGCGCACCGGCCAGCCTGCCACCACTGCAGGTAAGAGGGCAGCGGTAGTTCACACATGCAGTTGTGCCTCCCCAAAAGAGCAGCAGTGAGAGACAGGCAGCAGGAGTAGCTGGCGGGGCAGCGTTTGCTGGCAGGGCGTCAAATGCCCTGTGTCTGAGCTGGCCAGTGTGCCGGAACCTGGAATAGCAAGGGGAGCAGAGCTGCCAGCCAGAATGGACGGGCCAGGGTTTTCCTTTCTCCCCACCCAAGCAGGCTTTTTGCTGCTCTTCTGGGGAGGCGGGGCTGTTTAGGAGCTGACTCCACATGGGAGGAATATCTGTCTGACGCCGCGGTAAGAGGTGCTCCAAAAGGGAGGGTGGGGGGACTCCCGGGGCTGCCTCCCGTAGCAGCACCACCGCACCCATAGTCGCTCGCTTTCTGCCTTCTCCCAGGGCACAAAATGAGCAAAGCAACCAGCCATGGTGGCTGCATGTGCTGGCTGCTTTCTGCCTCCTCCCAGGAGATGCACTGCTTCCATCCCGGCCTGGCCAGCGGGTGGGCGTGCGGCCCTTGAGGGGTATCTCCGCTGTGCCAAGGGGGTGGTGGAGGTGCGCACATGCAACAGAGGCAGCCCCGGTACATCCGCCCACCCCGCCCTCTCGGAATATTGCCAGCGTTGCCGCCACTGTAACTGCTGGGAAACGAAATAAACAAAGCAAGTCCAGCCGCCGCCTCACCGCTCGCTTTCTACCTTCTCGTGCCGTCCCAGTCAGACCAGGTGTGTGTGTGTGTGTGTGTGTGTGTGTGTGTGAGAGAGAGAGAGAGAGAGAGAGAGAGAAAGATCAGAAATAGAGAAACGAAAGAAAGAAAAAATTAGGAAGAGAGTGAGGTGTGTGTGTGTGTGAGGGGGGGGCTGGAGTGGGGCGGTGGAGGTCTTTGGGAGAGTGCACCACCCGATTTCTTCCTTATCCCGCTGCCCCACTGCTGACTGAAGCTGCTCGTGCGTTCATTCAGTTCTTCCCAGACCAGGTGTGTGTGAGCAAGAGAGACAGAGAGAGAGAGAGGAAGGGAGAGAAAGAAAAAGATCAGAAAGAATGAGAGAAATAAACAAAAGAAAAAATAGGAAGAGTGTGTGTGTGTGTGTGTGAGAGAGAGAGAGAGAGAGAGAGAGAGAGAAAGAGAAAGAGAAAGAGAAAGAGAGAAAACTCTGTGCCACTGCCTTTTTTGCCCAGGGCTACCACATATTTTTCAGGGATTTACATGCATTCAATGTCTAGTCCAGAGCATAAATATGTGTGTGTTTATTTTGTACATCAGGTTGCATAAGTCCCGCTTAATATGCTCTTCCTAGTATGTGAAGTTTTTTATTGAACGGAATAGTAATAATAAAGAAATGTTGTAGAATATATTATAGCATTAAATAGAGAATTACTCTATAGGCATTTGTTATCTTGCTGTTGTAAATACATCCCTCTCCTGTTAAGACACATGATTGTCCCATCTAAATCAATCTGAACCCATCTATTTTCCTGGATTGATACATTTCACCCCAGCACCTGGGAATGAAATACCTCTCTGGGAATGTACCTCCATTTGGAGGAATCCATACCTTTGAAGTATGCTGTTAATAGCCTCTTTAAGTGGTCAATTGTGATCAATTAGATGGACAATAGGAGAAGAGATCATGAAAGATAAACATTGCCTACAGAGATTTGTTTTTTTGCAGGAAAGATATAAATCTAAGTTAGAGAGTTTTACAATGCAGTTACTCAGCTTCTAAGAATCCTAAAAGGTATAAGGTATAAAAGGTTTAACTTTGATCAAAGAATAAAAGTCTGCTTTATTTAATTTGCAAGCCTCTGTTTAAGCCTTTGTTTTGATTCATTTTTGGCTTAAGCCAGACCTTACAGTATACATACAGAGAAAGAAGCACTCTTGTGATCTTTGACTTTTAGGCTTGCTGTCAAACATCAGCCATAATAATTACTGTTTTGAACAATATGCAGGTTGTATTACACAATTGTTATTTTATTTGTGAAATTATGAAGTAAATTTGAGTAGAGGTCCTGGGATAGTGTCAGCATAACAGAATAACACTTAGAGGGACCTATACCATTTCAGAGAAATGGCTGTCCAGTCTTTTCTGAAAAACTTCCAATGATTGAGCACCTAGAACTTCTGAAGACAAGCAGGCCCACTGGTTAATTGTTCTCACTGTCAGGAAGTTTCTCCTTAGTTTTAGATTGCTTCTCTCTTTGTTCAGTTTCCATCCATTGCTTCTTGTTTGCCTTCTGGTGCTTTGGAAAATACATTCTTTCTGGCAGCCCCTTAAAAGCCTGTTGCCTATCACACTCTTGAGCAAAGCATGTGAGCCATTTCCTCCTTTCACTGGTCCATGAAAGTACATCTATAGTACGTAGATAATAAAGTCAAAAAAGGTGAACATTTTTACAGCACTATAGATGCTTTGAGGTTGGGTGTGACAAGGAATGGCTGGGAGGGGAGGGGCCAGGCGAGGCACCCTTTGATGGGAGTCACATTGAGTTGGCCACGCCCACCCAGTCACATGACCACTAAGCCACACCCACCAAATAAGCCATGCCCACAGAACCGGTAGAAATTTTTTTTGAATCCCACCACTGATTTGCATCATCCTTCTTCAATTCCCAGGCCTATACCAATGTATATATTAGGCTTCAAGTAAGTGGAATATGTATTTTCTGAAATGGTATGTAATAGGATAAGAAACTACTAAGGTTCACAGTATACCATTTCTAATAGAAAAACAAAAAGAATAAAAATAATGAAATCAGCATTTGCTGAATAAAGAGCAGAAAGAGATACTATGAGAGTGATGGGGGGCATTAATATGTCAGGAAAAGATTAGCATAAGTTAGTTATTTTCCCAGTTCTCAGCTAAGGTGCAATGCGATCTAAGATGCAATGCAATTCAGTTGCCACTTCTGAATATTGTAGTTTACAAACATCAAACAGATTTTATATTTATCCCCAAGTCATTGGGACAGCAAAGAGCTGAAACAATAATATAATTGCATGATAATCTCACAGTCAAGCTAAACCAAAAGCATACAATGGCTATTAAGGCAAAAATAAGAATAAGTAAAACACTAGAGCAGGGGTGTAAAACTGAAGGCCCGTGGGCCGGATCCATCCATGGGATACTTAGATCTGGTTTGTGGGGCTGCCCTGAAAACAGTGAAGGACCGGTCCTAGGTGCCTCTGCCAGCGAAAATGAAGCTTGGGGTGGCGCTGGCAGAGAACTGCAGGATCAATAAAGGGGCCCAGGAGGGCTGTGCATGCCTCCCCCAGCTCCATTTTTGCTTGCAGAGGATTGCAGGAGGCCGTGGAGGCTGAAAATGGAGCTCAGCAGCCCGTGCTCAGGCCACCACAACACGAGTATCGTCAAGCTGGCCAGGCCCACACCATGTCCACACCCACCCAGTCCCCCCGAAGTCAAACACAACCCTGATGCAGCCTCAATAAAATCAAATTTAACACCCCTGTTCTAGAGCGTTAGAAACCAATTAATTTTGTTTGGAGCAATGAATTATTGGAATAATTATTGCCTATTGAAATGACTGATTAACAGAATAATGCAAAGATATTCTAATGAAAACAAATGTAAACCAATATAATCATAGATTGGTCTTAAGGGCTGGAATGTTTCAGAAGTTTGATACTTTTCTCACCAGAATTCTGGTTTATCAATCATAATTATAATTCTAAATGAATGGATTTAGAATATTGCTGGATGTTGAATATTGTATTTGCATGTAATTTTCATTTAAAAAAATAAAATATTATTAAACTTATTAGAGTATAAAATTCAAGTGAAAATGAAAATAGTGGGAAAATGGGAAAAAGGAAAAGAGAGAAGTGAAAGATGACGGGGAAAAATAAAAGTAATGATATGCATAGGTAATTTTCTAATCTAGTCAATGGAGGAAGCTTTTAATTCTAAAATGGCAAAATGTTTCTTTACAGAATATTTAAATATTTTTTTTAAATCAGTACAAAATACTTTAGAACCTTTTAGATTCTAGTGATGTATACAAAAATATAAATGGAAAGGATTAAAGTAAAAGAATGTAATTGTTAATTATTTGAAATTTTTTCCATAGTGTTCAATTATTTCCTGAAGTGAGGGCTGCAATGGGTCACATGGTAAGATGCTGGCCCCGCGCACTAAGATTGGTGGCTCGAACAAATCACGTAGGGACAAGAAAGGAGCCTCCCCCGATTGCCTACCAGAATTCAGGCATCCCACGGGTAAAGATAACACCAGCCGAAAAAAATCCTTTCAGAGGCAGCCAGTCACCTCGGTGATCCCTGGCTAACATGTGCCATACGTTAAAAAAAACAAACCTTCCTGAATGATTAACATGAATTCTGCAAGGATATTCTACTGCTAGAGAAATAACACTTACATGCTGATTCTGTATTAAGATATCCAGTTGAGGTTCAATTGGAATGTTGAAAACAACACGGATTCTGCCATCTGAGATTACATCAGAAGAATCCTGAACCTAAAAGAAATAACTGAAACACTCAGGTTCACAATGGAAAAAAAGTCTTTAAAATATTTATAGTGATTACAGGTAGTGATTACAGGTAACTTAACAATTCAAATTAACAGCCTTTATGGCCCGTAAAGCATTTCCAATCACTTCACTTACCCACCTCAGTCATGTGATTACATCTGGTTGTTTGACAACTTGTTTAGATTTACAACCACTTGCAAGCACCCTGCGATCATGTGACTGCCAATTGCAATATTCCCGTGATGGCGAACCTATGACACGCCTGCCACAAGTGGCACACGGAGTCCTTTGTGCTGGCACGCGAGCTGCAGGCAAACTTACCTCACTGCACATGCGCATGCCTCACAGCTAATTTTTTTTCCAGTTGGCTTGAGGGCTTTTTCAGCCTCCCAGAGGCTTGGAAAAAGCCTCTGAAAGCCTTCTCAGGCCGAATTATAGGCCGGTTTCATCACAGCCAGGCTTTTTCCAAGCTTCTGGGTGGCCGAAAAAGGCCTCAGATCAGCCAAAAAATCAGCTGTGAGGCACAGTGCAGGTAAGGTGGTGGGGGTGGGGATTGTGCGTGAATGCACAGGGGACATGGGGAGGGGGGGACGCACATTGCATTCTGGGTACTGGCACGCAAGTACAGTATTTTTGGCACATGAGCTGAAAAAGGTTAGCCACCGCTGCATTCTCTGCCCATTTCCATAGAAAGACAACTGGGTAGACAAAAGGAAAGACTGAAGATACTGCTGACTGATGAGAAGACCTTATCTTTGGTAACACCCTTGTACTCCTTACCTAAAACTCTGTCTGTCTACTTAATGACCAACAAGATCACTTAACAAGTGCTTAACTTTAACAACCAGGAGCGCCAATATTATAGACATTAAGTGAAGCAATCATGTGATGTTTCACTTAACCGCTTCACTCAACATCTGAAATTCCAGTCCTAATTGTGGTTGTTGACAGGGATGGGATCCGACTGGTATAACTACCGGTTCTGTCTATTAGCGTCGCGCGTGGATGCGCGAGTCACGCGAGTGCAATTTATAACCTGCTGAGCTGTCCGGACAGCTCAGCAGCACTGCGTGCAAGTGCGCAGCAGTTGGAAAGGCCCTTTTTTCCTGCTTTTTCAATTGCAGCTGTGTCGCACAAAGCAGCTGAAGTTGACAAAGCAGGAAATAAAGGTCAGGTAAGAGCCCGGGCAGGGGGGTGGGCCACAACAGCAGCAGACAAAGAACCGGTTCTATGTCTGCTGCTCTTTGGAGCAACCGGTTCTACAGAGGTGGACAGAACCGGTAGAAACCCACCCCTGGTTGTTGAGCACCTTTTATGTGAAGAAAATAAGAGGTGGGAATATTATATACATTGCTTGGAGTTCTACAAAATGAAAACAAGACAAAAATATAATAAATAAATACATTTTAAAAAGAGGTAAAAACAAGTACAAAGTCATATATTCATCAGGCAGACAAATGATAGCTCAGAAAACCTAGATAACCATTTGATCTATTTCTGATAGTTTAAATTTATGAATGAATCTGATGGAAGATTATTTTGAAACTCACTTCTCCTGTGCAGCCATAGTAAGGTGTTCCTAGCATGAAAACTGTGCATCCAAGAGGGAATAGGTCATCCAAAGTTTTTAGTTTGGAGGAGTGGCAATCAAAAGTTTTTATATCCTGTCAGAAAGATATACCGCATTAAGAAAATCCACACTAATCACTGTAATAATGCTTGCCTATTTTAATGATCTATTTTAAAATGATCTATTTTAAAACAGCAAGTTAAGATGAACAATTTAGGACTTTCTGCTAAATACTGTCCTTCATCTGTTCAGCACAGTCAATATCATCTTAAGTACATTACAGTTACTCATGACAAAAGAAAATGGTAGTGATAAGAATGGGGAAGGTCTGGTAATATTTCCTGATTATCTGTAATCCTACTGTTTATGACATATAGTATGATCAGAGTTTTTTCTAAATACTACTTACATATAAAGAGGTTCTGGTCAAACAAGGCAATACTGTGCCTTTGTTTTATTGAATACATTGAGCCAATATTCACTGTCTTTGTTGGAAAAAGTATGTGACATTTCAGATTTAGTAACTAGTGTCACCTTGTTTAGCAGCAAGATCTCTAACCAAGCATTTCCTAACACATTGATCAGCCTTGAATATTGGCTTAGAGGTGTCTCAGCCTGTTCCTATTTATAGCACTGCTTTTTCTTATGGATATTTTTGGTCTAATTTCATTAGCCAGTAGCTTCAGATTTTATCACATTTCAGTTGGACTCAGGTAAGAAATCTGAATCCCCAAACACAAAATTTCTTTTACTTCAATCATTCCATCGAAGATTTCTATGTGGGTTTAGATCTAGTTGTGTTAAATAACCCATATTTTGATATGTTTCAGGCCATGGATATCTGGAAATGGAGAATATAGTGGTTCAATCCCAAACACATTATTTCTTGAAAGACTGGGGGTTGTTTATTCCTGAAATTTCAAAGCAACCCAAAATTATGATATACTGTATTCCCTCCATCATGCTTCATGGCTGTAATATGGTTCTTTTTATCAGAATGAAGTGTTTCATTTTCTTAAAATTTTCTCATTAATGCCATGATCGTTCCAAAAACTTCAAAGCAGGTGGCAGTGTGCTTTCCAACCAGAGGTGCCATCTTCCCACCACTAATTTTTTGTTCAGTTTTTGTTTATGATGGACATGAATACAAAGAATGCAAGAGTGACATGCACATTCTTTACTATCATCTTGGGGTTCTTTATAACCTGAACCTTGCTCTTGAGATATTCTTTTATTAGATTGCTATTCTTGGGAATAATCACAATGGTGCTGCATTTGATAAAACTTTTATCACATAGGTAATTTAGAGCTGGATTGCAAAGATATATACAGGGTTCATATACCTTCTCAACCTACAATACTGAAGAATGTTGTTATCAGAGCATATTTCTCACTGGATATAGCACTGTTACAGGATTGTAACAGAGCAGCATAAAAGAAGTCCTCTGCATCTAGATGTATGTGTCTATGTATATGTCTATGTAAATATAAACATGTAGACATTTCTAACAAATTAAGCTTAAACCTAAAAATATTTTAAATTTGAACTGTGCTAATAATATGGATTCCTTGAATTATTATATATGTAAATAAATATAACAATAACAAACTTAAAAAGATCACCTTGACAATTGTCTGGTATGCAAAAGGTAGATTTTGCTTGGACCACTGTTTTTCAAAATACACTTCACCATTTTGATTTAACTGATATCTACTCCCAGTTAGTAATTGGGCATATACAATTATAGATGTTTCATTTATAATTACTCCTTTTCTTCTTTGGTAGCTATAAAAAGAACAAATTATACAGTAAATTAGAATTTGCATTTTTAGAAATGGATTTTTAAGGAAAAAAATTAATAATCCTTTTTTGGGGGAGAGTCAAACAAATAATAATGAAATCCATTAATTTAAACCTATTACTTTTTCCAAGAGTTTGCAAGGGTATGCTTGATTCCTATATTAGACAAAAGGTAGTAAGATTATTAGTACCCACTTTTCTAATAAACATTAGAAGTAGTACATGTTATGGAAAGATTCTAGAGATTCTATAGAGATAATACCCGTGAAGCCTTATGGTCTGAAAGAGACATAAGGAAACTTCGCTCATCTTCTTCCAATCCAACTTCCTATAAAATATATCCAGCATATTGTTTAACTAAATAAGGGGAGCGTATATAGTTGTGTCTTTTGCCAATCGGAAGCCAGTCTGCTTCACCCAAATTGTGCCATCCTATCATGTAAATAATGTTTTTCATAAGGACATTGAGATCTTCTGGGATTCTCATTTTTATGAACATAATCTACTGCATGACATAACTAAAGTCCTTTAATGAATCACATATGGAATTATATTTGGTGTTATTTTGGTTTCTGAATTATCCAGCACCAATCACCAATAATGACTCATGCTCTTTGGCCATTTATAAAGTCATCTTGAACATTTAGTATCTCTTGTTCCATGTTGTGCTCTAATCTGCACTGGTGATCCTAAGCATTATTTTGCTAGCATGTAAAATTAAAGATACTGAATAACAGTTTGAACACTTTATTAAGTCTCCTCCCTCTCTCCTCTCTGTATCTCTTTTGGTACTGGAATCTAAATTGATCTTTTCCAATCTATTGACCTATTGTTCATCAGATTAGCTGGAACAGCTTGGTTAGAAAATGTGAGTGATTCTTCTTTTGTTGCCATATTTCAGTGAGAATTCTGTCAATTCCTGTAGTCTTCTAACTTGGTAATGACTGCAATGTGATTTTTAAAGTTCGTTCTATAATTCCTCTGGTTTTCTTTCAATGAGGTTCAGGAATTCAAAGTGATTCCTGATGTTCTCCTTAAAAATAATATCTTCAAGATAGTATTATGGAAATTGACTCTCTCTTTAGCTTAACATGGAGCTTGCAGATGAGCAATTCATGATCTTTTCCAGTTAGCACCTGGGCATGTCTTTGAGCTATATTTGAGCTCCTCCACCTCTCTTAATAACAATATAGACAATCTGATTTTTCTATATTCTATCTGATGATCTCCAGGTATAAATGTGTCATTTTGCTTGTTAAAGACACTGTTAGCTATGAAGTATTCACTGGAGTGGCAGAAAGTGATAAGTTGGTCTCCTGCTTCATATTGGTTTCTTAAGGTATACAATCCAAATATATTTTCCTCTTTAGTATTTCCAACTTTAACATTACAGGCTCCAACTTTAACATTACAAGCTGCGTAACTTCCTTGCATGATAACAATTTCAAACTGAACTTGATCATAAACTTTGCTTTTTCTTTGAAAATTTTTTGCTTCTCATCCAAGCTTTTTAAGTTCTGATCTGGTCTATAGCTGACCATGCATTTCTAAATGAGTCATTTCCACAAAGTAACCTGTGCACTCTTAATTTTGCTATAAAGTATACAAGCAAAGTATTAGAACTTACTCAGGTATGATATTCCCCTCTGAAAAAAAAATCGGGGCCGGCCAAAAGAGACCCCCCACCGCCCGCGCCGCCCGCCCGCCACTCGCCCGCCCAGCCTGCGCCGCCCGCCCGCGCCGCCCACCCGCCCGCTGCCTGCGCCGCCCGCCCAAAAAAATCGGAATTCCGATTTTAATCGGAATAATATCATGTCTGCTTACTGTTCTGAAATTCCCTGGATTTCTTTTATCCATACATTATTTTCCTTTTCTCCAACAAATGTTACTTTAGTTGGTGGCACAGCATTTCCCCTATAAAGTTTTTGGGTTCCAGGACGCTCCTCCAAGTAAAACCTTAAATAAAAGCATGTGGTTAGTTTAAAATAATACATTTTAAATTTTCTTCTCAGTTTTAATATAATTAAGTATATTGAATTCAGTCAATATTAATGGCATTGTTTTTTTAATTTGCTTTCCTGGAGAGCTTTCATTAGTAATATCATCAGTGCATGGGAGAGTAAAGCTGTTTGTTATTTACATAAAGAAGCTTGCCTTTCCTGTCCTGACTGTGTGTAATTTTGTTCCTTGATAATTCCTTAATTCTTCCCTAATTGTTTATCTGGTAATTTTCTTCTTATCTGGGCATTGCATACAAGCGAGGATCAGTTCTGCCTTTTTCCTTCCATTATTGGCATTTGGTTATATCTTTTGAATTGTATATAAATGGAATTTAGGCATCTGTTGATAGTTGATTTGTGTGATTGCTCCTGGTTATTTTGTGATGTTACAACTGCCCATAAAAGGAATTGCATAAGAACTTACATACTACAAAAGACACACTCAGTAAGCCAGAATTCCAGCAAGAGGAAAAAGACTATACATACAATATCTTCCAATAAGTACACATACTATTTCATTAAAAAAGTTCCTAGATAATTATTATATCACAAGTTATCAAAATGATAACTGCCATACATCAAAAATTTCTGAGACACACAACAGACCACAAGTACTTGACATTCCTCAAAAACATAAACGAACGAAATATCTCCAAAATATCTTAAGCAAAGTCCCAGTAACCAAGGAAGAAAAAGGACTCATCTATAATGTAAGTTGTAAAGATTGAAACAGCAATTATATAATTATAAGACAAACAGGTAGAGGCTTGGCAGAATGCACCCTTAACATCACCTGGAAGTTACAAAACATGGTGAAAGTTTCTAAATCTGTCAAAACTTAGATAAATTCAAAGACAGCTTAAAGTGGGAAACTGCTGACATTTTAGGTCAAGCCAAACCAAGAAAGCTAGAAAATTCCTGAAATCTTAGCATTCTTTAAAAAAAATCAAATAATCATAAGTCAGAATGGAAAAAACCAGCTCACAGCACATTCCCTTTATAACAGGGGTGTCAAACTTGTGTCATCACAGCAACGTCATATGACGTATCGGCACTTTTTCCCCTTCGCTAAACCGGGTGGGAACGTGGTCAGCATGTAATACACCCGGCCCGTAAACTGTGAGTTTGACAGTCGTGCTTTATAACCAGCATCCATATAAGTAGGAAACTGCCCTCGATAAACAATCAGGAAAGGAACAATATCCCAATCAAAGAACTATTAAGTAAGAAACCACATCCCAACCAAGATAAAAACAAGGTACTATCTTTAAGGAATCAGCAAACATCACTTTCCGTATACCAATGATAATACCTAGTGTGTGCTAATGAAATGTCTGCAGGAAAGCAAAGTGATAAGAAAGTGATAAGAACCTAACAGTTTAACCAAACCTACTGCATATTTTATTATTTACATTTTTATCCCATTTTTATAAGTAATTCAAAGTGGTGAACATTCATAATACTCCTTCCTCTTCCTTTTCTCCACAACAACCCTGTGAGAAGAGTTGGGCTAAAAGGGAGTACTACTGAAGTTTAGCCTTAAAAGATACATATATAGTAGCAAATAAATAATAACTCTTCCAAATAAGTCTCTTACTTAGTGTCACCATCAGATACAGCAACAGCTCTGGCTTCTTCAAGATGTGGCCAGTTAACAAAGACTGATTTCCCAAGTATCATACTGGCTACTTTTTCTATATCCTACAGGAGAAAAATTATTGTTCAGTGCAGCAAAAAAATAATAATAATCCATCCCTACATTTGTATATCAGGCTATTTTTTTAATAAAATGGCTACAAGTAGCCTCACATAACAATTTCCTTTTTAGATCGTTTGAAGTTATGACGATACTGAAAAAGTAATTTTACAACCAGTCTTCACTCTTATGAACATCATGTGAGCAAAATTCATTTGTTTTTCAACTGGCAGGAATTTATGATTATGGCAGCAGCCCAGTCATATGATTGCCATTTACATTCTTCATAGCTAGCTTCCAAAAAGCAGACTTAAAGGAGAAGCCAGCAATAAAGTTGTAAGTTGTGGTTATATTATGTCTTGCTTAACTGCAGAGGAAGTGGTGTCATAAGTTTGATGCAGTCATATTTCTCACTTAATGACCATATTGCTTAACAATGGAGCTTCCGGTCACAGTTGTGTTTAAGTAAAGAACACCTGTAATTAAAGTTAATAATTAAAACTATATTTTGTTCTTTTTGGATTCTGTTTATAATTATTTATCAATAATAATTCATAAACGTATGTATAGCTTTAAAAACATACTTGATGCATATTCTATTTTTATATGATTTAGATTTGTTGGTGAAACTTTGGTGACATGGCTTATTTTAAACATTCTTAGCAAAGTTGTCACAACATTACGTACTCTTGAAAATATTATGCAGATCAACAGGCAAACAAGTCAGATTTTAGATGTAGAAATTGTAGCACTAACAACCTCAGATCAACAGATGTGTTGGCTAGTTTTATGGCCACTTTCTTTCTTTTGTGAAGCTTATTCCAGGTCTGCCAAGATGAACATAGCCTCTGCCTTCTTTTCACATCAAATATAGATTTGTCAGCAAACTAGTGCTGCAAGTAAAAATGTGGACTTTTTTGGTGAAACTTAGCAATTCCTACACAAAGGAATCATTGTTCAACATTCAGAAGAAGCATTAAAATATTACTATACCTTTCAAGTTATCACCAGTACATGTAGTGGAAACATAAGACCTCTAATGTCTCTTCCAAAAAGAACAAACTAAGTTAAGACTAGTTCCTAAGATCAACTCAATTATAAATAAATCAACAGTCAAGGAAATCAGTACTCAGGTAAGTGTCTCTAATTATTTGCATTCTATATTCCATATGGCTTCTAGCCAGATTCTGATAGTCACAAACTTCTCAAATTTTGCCCACAATACTATCACCATACTATTTTCAAAGTGAAGTTATCAGTCCCCAATGACATATACTGTTGATCTAGATTCAATAATATGTCCATTAACCTCAGAACTTACTTTACACATGGTAGAACTGTGGATAAATCGTGTAATGATGATTTGTATTCCTTAATTGAAGTACATCTCCTTCATCAGTAATCTCAATAAACTTTCAGACAACTTAGATTATCATATCAGACTCTGACAGGTTTTAATTACTATGTTTTCAAACCAATTGTCTAAGTGATGCATTAATAATGTTTATTAAATTAAATTAATTTATTATTAATGTGTTGTAATACAGGTAACATAAAACTCTCAGACTGCACGCTGAAATCCAAACGACAAACAGTATTATTTCTACAAAACAAATTTGAGAAAGCTAAATACTTACAAACTCCTCTGAGTCTTCTGCAGCTATAATTTCTAGCAACATATTTTCTCCATGACTGCTTTGCTGAAATACTTGCACTCCACTTTTTTTCAGACCAAACTAGGACAAGGGAAGAAAAATATTTACCCAAAAAGAGGATAATAGGGATAAAAACAAAATCCTGGGAAATATCATAATAATGCTATCCCAACTCTTGAAAATTCCTCTGCTGCATGTGATATGTTTATATTCACATATATGCATGTGCATATTATACAAACACACAAAATATAGGTTATACTCACAAACACAAAGCATATATAGTTTTGATGTATATATTCATATGTACCAAAACTACACTTCAGTCGATCTGTCACTAAATAGTAAGGGCCATCACTAAAATAATTAAAATGAAGTTATATCTAGTTCAAGCTGCCAGTAAGTAAACAAGCCAACTGAACTCCTATATGTATCCATTTCAAATCCAATCAAGCTACCCTCACACTCAGAAACAGAGAAGTACACTACATACATTCACTTTTGTCTTTTCAGCAGAAATAGCAAAAAAAGGAAAATGAAGATGGGCTTGTGAGAAAAGATAGCTATGCTGGAGAGAAAAAAAAAACAAATTTGGATGGAGAGGAAGTGAGAGGAAATAGAAATGAGCAGGGCCGGAAAGAAAAGAAGCCGCTCTGTTAGACATTAGGGATTTAGCCTTGCAAAGTCAAAACAAAGCTTCAGAAGCATATCTTTTTGGCAACAGCACTATTAATCCTTCATAATAATTGATCACTAAAGAGCTTCTGCTATTCATAACCCTCCCTCCCATCCATAAATGTAATCAAACAAAGCAAAAATAATATTCTTGCGTATACAATTAATGTCAGCCATTAGGCTTCCTACATTAAAAGACAAACTACTGAATGAAAACTTGCATTTTACCTTGTGATTAATGTGTTTTAGAGTAGGAAAGCCACAAAAATATAACTTCTCCGTATCTAAATGAGTTATTTTATTATCAGCTATATCCACATGCCAAGCATCCATAGACACAGCTTCACACCTATGTAAAAGAAAGAAAGAAAATAAATTAAACTACAGATAAACCACTAATCAACAGATCATGAAGACATTGATATTTTGGGGGCGGGAGCAGGTAACAACTTTGAACACAAGTATGCAAAATAATAATGCTGAAGCCAAGAGCTTTCCTATACAGCTATGGATAGTTCTCTATAGCTTAGAGAACTAGAAATTTCAGTTGCTAAGAAAAGGTAGCAATGTAAAAAAAGAGCAATAATTCATTTATATAATTTCTTAGATTAATATTCTGTTTCCTTCAGAAGTTCAAGGTGATGCATTTATGTCTCGACTTTTATCCTTTGCATTTATAACAAAATTCTATAGACTTACCTTGTATGACATTTTTCTATGGAAAGGAACTTTTCTGGCCATGGTGATAAATACTGGAATTCTGTATCTCTATCATATAAGTACATTAGGCATTCACTGTGTCTATTTCTTTGCTTTTCTTCTGCTTTCAATAATTTGTTGCATGGTGCCATGGCTTCTAATAACAGTTTCTAAATAAAAGACATAATTTTATAGTAATGTAGACATCATATACTTTTAGAATCTTGGGAAAACATGTTAAAAATATTAGATTGAATCAGAGTCAGGTTTGCTTATAAATCAATGGAACAAGTTACTACAAGGTCACATGCCAGGTATCTAATAAATATGCTAATTTGTCCTGCTGAAATGTATAACTATTAAATTAAAACCATTGTCCCTTGTGATATTAATGAGATTCCTTCTGGTACAGCTTGCCTATTTCTGTATGAAATAAGTTATTCAGTTTTAAGATTTGTTGAGTTAAATTGGTATTGAACAGGAAAATACCAAATAATGATCATACTTAGGAGAGGTATAGGAACAAGAGGACCCATGTCTTTATTATCTTTTAAAACTGGTCAAATATGTGATAAATAATAATAATAACAATAATACTAACACTCTCACCTCATCAATAAATGGGATTAAAACTACAGCTTCCCATTCTTGTTGCTTTCCATTTAAATCAGTTTTAAATTCTGTTGGATAATATTCAATAATGGGAGACTCGTCACTAGTCATTAAATGCTGAGAGATAGAAAAGGAAAATTCATATTATTTAAACATTATATTAAACAGGATGACTATAAAATATAAATATAAAATATAAAAATTAAACGTATAGGGCAGAAATGCTAAACAAATCAAAGTATGAATCAATTAAGTATTAATAGTACTGAACTAATATACCTATATACAATAATATGAAAAAGTAAGTATATCATTGAAACGTTTTACTTTTTCAGTGTTTCAATATGTAGATATTAGATTAGTGATGGCAAACCTTTTCGTAAACCGGAAGAGCCAGAAACTGGAAACTTAGCTTTCTATGATGTGATTTGAAATGGGCTGTACTGTACATGCAAGAAACCCTTCAAACATCATACACACTGCAGAGAAGGGAGGGGGGGATTCCTCCCAGTCAATGTCAGAGATTGGTAGACTGATATAATAAATACTAAAGGGCAAAACATGCCAAGGATGTACTTGCTTATTCCAGATGTGAAATTTGCATTGATGCTTATTTAAATTACACAATGAAATGCAAAATATAAATGCTACATGGTATTCGTTATATACCTTTTATCTATCAACGTTGTTAAAATAAAGATCAAATAACTGCATGTTGAAATATTCCACAAAAGTCAAACATTTCAAAGGGATATTTACTTTTCATATGAGTGTAATGTGAATGAATTAAAATTCTCCTTGTACATACCAATACAAATGCACACTATCAAAATATTGCAACCTACCTGGTAACATTTTGGTAATAAATCCTTGCTAGCTGCAGGCAGTACTGCAAGAAGTTGTTCAAATGGCATAAATGGTTTTCCTAAATCTAAATGAATCTTCAGTTCACTGATATTGCAAATATCTGAGAGATAAGGTGCATAATGGAAAGGGTAGTACCTAGAAGGAAGTAATGTAGGATTTCAGTTCTTTAAAATGCATAGATGTATGAAAATCAGTATCTTGAGCTTATTCAGTTAAAAACCTGAAGGTAGGAAAAAGACATCTGAAATAATGTCATTCAAATAACATAATTCTGAGAGTGAGATACCGGTTGAGAAAGAACTAGAAGGGATTGGCTTTCTAGGGTCTTTTAGTATAAAAAATTAACCTAAAATATATAAGCTGATATATAATTTATTTTGTAATAATTAGCTTACCAGCTCCATGATTGAACACCATGGTAGTAATAATGCAATATCCACTGTATTGCCTGGACATAACATTTTGCCTGGTCAGCCAGAAAGTCACTAAAAAAAAGCCACAGACAGATACATGATAGACAGAAATAAGAAGTTATGCATTTAAAAATAAGTAAGCAACTGTGTCCATCAAGTGGCTGGGATATTTTAGCAAGTTTTTCATAGCAAAAGTTTACAATACTTTAGTGCTAACACTTACTTTGAAACAACTTCTACACCCAACTTTGTCATATAATATGTTCGTTTGTATTGTCTAAATTCTGCTTCAAACAAACCATCATCTTCCAGTTCTTCTTCTAATGCTGCTAAAGACACAAAATTGAACAGTACTTATTATTTAACTATTAATAACACTATCCATACTGTTAAGACATTGAAACTTATATGTCAAAAAAGTCTGAAAGTACTAGTTTTTAAAATTGACATGGTATACATTAAATATTTTAGTTTATATTAAAGATATAAACAGTTCTGAAATGTCTATGAATATTAGTAGCTCGGTAGTTATGTTGTTGGTTTGCGCTTGGCGATTTGTGGCAAACTTTTTGCCCCCATTTGAGGAGACATATTCAGTGGCTTTTGGATTGTGCTTGTCTGGGGAAGCACATTGGGGACAAAATGTTTGCAACCAAATTGCCAAGCTTGGAGCTCAAATCAACAATATAAACAGCTCTGTTAATTCAGGCTATATATAATTCATCTTCAGCAGTATTATGTTTGCCACTGTAATTAATCAGCTATCTTAGAGGAGCACATAAGCAATGCATAATGCAGTACACCACTATTGTACCAAATGTGAATTTTCTAATTCTGAATTAGAAAAATAATTTTCTTCAATCGACTGAGCTGCAAATTCTCACTTCCATTTAATTGTTAACAGCATGACACATTCACTATGCAAAGTATTTGAAAAGTCTTCCAATAACTAAAATATTTGGGATTTGTTGTCAATAAAGTAACATGTCTAATATGATATTACGGATAAAATAAAAACACAGAAAAGAGTTTATATAATTTTAGTTTTCTTGGAAGTGTACTAAATACTAATGCTGTGTGAAATGACTGGAAGAGGCCTTATATAGGGAAACTTTCACTGATAGGAGGTTGTTGATATAAATATGCTTATATTTATATTCACATATAAAATACCTAACTGGCAGCAAAACATAAGCAAATATAGGGATTTTATTTAACTTATATATTAAAAGTTAATATAAACTACATAGTTCTGTTTGCATGTAAGAACAAACTTTTATATTAAAGGAAATACAAGAAACAAAAGTATAACCGTTCGTATTAAGCAATACATTCAAAGTAACAGATAATCAGAGTTGGAAGGGACCTTGTAAATCATCTAGTCCAACCCCCCGCCCAAACAGGAGACCCTGCACCATTTCTGACAAATGGCAGCCCAATCTCTTCTTGAAAGTTTCAAGTAATTGTACCCAGTCCTGGGTAGACTATAAGTCAAAATATGAACAGAACTGAACAGTATTTCTGAACTTACTTTTTGAAGTTTCTACATTTCCATTGTCAGTTTTCTCTAGAGCATCCAAGCATATAACATTTTCCTGAGCCTGTTGACATTTAAGTAGTATTAATACCACAATACTACAGAAAGGAAAAGTCTAAATAATGACACTTTCATTACATCTTTGGACATCTCACAAATTGCTTCTGATGGTTGGGGTTACCTCCAGAGCCAATTTGGAGTTCTTGAAGAAAAACAGAAGAAGAAGAAATCATCTCCTCCTATAATATTGGATTTAGCCCAAAATTAAGAAAACACTTCAACAATGAAGAGAACAAGAACAAATCAAAGCTCCGTCTGTTAATTTATAGTATTATTTCAACAAACACTCAGAAAGCCCAATAAGGTCCAAACATACCAACTTGGAAATGAATAATTAATTAAATTTATTAGATTTAATTAAATCTAAATTTAAAATTAAATTTATTAGATTTAACTTATATTAGATATAAGTCTCTGAGCAATTTATAAAACCCGCTCCAAAAATTCAGTAAAAATTATTAAAACAGTTTAAACTCACATAAACAGGCAGCAAAATAAAATAAATAAACAACACAGAAGTAAAAGATACCACTAATATGTACCAATTAAATTCCAAGACTAGTTACATTTAAGGGGGGGAAGCAAAATCCAACATCACATGTGTAAACTTCAGCTTTTAATTCTCTCTTCATAGTTTTAAGGTCCCCTAAAATATACTTAAGTGTGTTGCTCAGGAGCAAATACTAAACAGGTGAGAATGAAAACTGCTTGTTCTATTGATAGAAAGCACTCTGTCATCTTGCCAAAATTGTTATCTAAATGCAAAGTCCATCACAAAACAATTTGACAAGCCTGATACATAAAATTTAAAATACCAATTTCTATTTAATGGGAATAAACCAGGGAACCAAAGAGTTGGAAGTGATCTCAGAAATCATTTAATCCAACCCCTTGCCCAGTGAAGGAATACTCATACCATCCTGAACAATTTAGTTCCCTAGTCTTTTGTTGAAAACCTTTAGTGATGGATTGAGAAGGCAGGCTGTTTCACTGCACAATAGCTCTTGCAATCAGGAAATTCATTTTTATTTCAATCTTTCCCTGCTAAGCTTTCATGCACTGTTTTAGTCTTACCTATGGATGCTATGGAGAATAAATCCATACGTGCAACATCCTTCATGTATTAAAGCTGCTATCATATCTCCTCAGTCTTCTCTTCTTTAGACCAAACATAACAAGTTCCTTTAAGCATTCCTTATAGGATTGAGCCTCCAAGCTCCTTCTCTGCACTTATTCCAGAATCCTTTTTGCATGGTTGAGATCAAAACTGGAAACAGTATTCCAGTGATGATCTGATCGGGGTGGTACTACTTTCTGTGACTTTAACACTATATCTGCTGATGCAGTCCAAAACTGCATTGGCTCTTTTGGCAGCTGCAGCACATTACTGGCTCATGTTTAATCTATGGTCTACCAAGATTCCCAGATGCTTCTCATACTTCTACTATGCCAGATACTTATTTTTTATCTGTACATCTGTTTTTTTCCTAAGTTCAAAATCTCACATTTCTTATCACAGAGAATCACTTAACATTGAATGGAAATGTGCTTCATTGGTTAATTCAATCCTTTGGTCCATGATGCATAATCTCTTCCTTAATCTCTAAGGATGTATTTCCAGCAAATTTGCTCAAGGCATTTTTCTTGCTTGTTATAAGGGCCACTTATATATATTTAGGAATAAATGCAGTAAACAGCTTTACATGTAGTAAGCATTAAACATTAATTTCTCATTCAAATTTTTTTTCAAAATACCAACCTTGAGATTTTTTTGTTTTTTTGACTCTTCAGCTGCAATACCAGCTGCTTCATTTAAATATTTATTACCAACTTTGCTTTCAAACCATTTTAGATCTACAAAGATTTCACTGAAGTGTTCACGATCAAACTATTAACATAAAGGAAAGGAAAAACAAGCTATCAGCCATTTCATAACCTGTTTTACAGACAAAGTTTAAAAACAGAAAGGGCCATAAAGAGTTAACCAAATACTGTATGCAAAAATAGTATAATAAAAAATTAATAAGGCAATAGATGAATAGATGAAATAAAATAGTTATACAATTAAGTACTGAAAGGTAATCAAAATAATTATGGTAGCCTTTATGGAAATCTTAAATTATTTGTCAGTTCAAAAGAGAATATTTTTTTCTACTCTAACAAAGCTGTATCTTAAAAGAAGCATTATTAGTACACCAAGTATAAAAAAAAAGAAAAGAAATGCAGGCATATTCTGTTTATCCAGTTGCTGTTCCACTGGGGAATTATGGAATCTTCCTTCCAGCAATATGGATGACAAATATTAAATCATGCAAATATAAGGGTTCTCCTTTCAGCTGAACATAGTTTATTGGGTAAGTAATTAACATAGAAGAAAAATCTGGCAAACAGATCTGTCTCATACAAGGTAATGATGATATGTCAAACTTCCTAGATACTGCTGTCAAGAGGCTATTTCAGTTCACTCCAGTTCCTATAAGGGAAATTATGATCAAATGTTTATTTAATTATTGTGAAATTTATCTATCAACTCAATCTTTATGGGTTCTAGTGGTTTACAGATAATAAAATAATTGGTACCATAATTTCTGCTTATCAAATTAAAAAACCAAAGTTGTGGGTTGTGCTAGAAAACCTAAAAGTGTTAATGGTTATACAAAAAAAAAAAAAAAAGGATTTTATATATTTGTAGTTAGTATTCCAAGAATACAATGCCTGGAAGGTCCATATTGAATATGTCACTTCAGAAGCACAAAAAGTATAGCAACCGTTATGAAATTCACTTGGACAAAAGATAGGGATTGCATACCAACAGCTCTGAAACTGGGTTGTCACAGCTCAAATACTCTATGGTATTGAAGTGGTACCATTTCCACATTATAGGACTGTTAGAGATTTAATAAACAGTTCTTGAAAATATTGTTTCAGGCACCCAGAGGTACAGTTAATGCATCCCTCCAGGTAGAAGCAGTGTAACCAAAAGTTAAGCTGAAGGCATGGATACTGATTTACTCCTCTGGCTTAAATATTACTATTTTCCATCAAGACTGATCACCTGAATATTTGCAAATCACTCACCTAACACAAGGTGTTGTTTGGACTCCTCTTTCTGGATTACACTCAAGCTAAAAGAGACATGGTTCTAGACATGAAATATCAGCCAGATTCTAGTGCATATTGGAAATGTATAAAGTACCATAGATAGCAATTAGGCAGATAGTTACAAAAATACTGAACAAAAACTTTTTCAAGAGCTAAGCTTCAGAAGTTCCTTTCTTAATGAATTCTAATGCTATTTCTTTAATTTTATGCAGTACAAAGAATATATACTTACATCTGATAATTTTATAAGGTATTTCTCAAAGCGGGGCAAGTTGAGGTGCCCACTTTCATTTATATAACCTATAAGAAATAGAAGAATAATTTATATTTACAACCATGACCTGTTTCCAGCCCCTGATACTGTTCAAAAATGATCTATACTTATTTCTTCTGTTCAATAAAGGAATTCTGGGGGCTTCCCGTTGAAGAGTGGGGGTATCATACTAATAAACACAGATGCCTTTTCCCCCTGCAGCCTCCACCGTTATTTAGATCAGATTGAAAAAGCATGAGAGGCTGCTAAAAGGGACACAATATCACTTTCTCCTCCAGTGGCAGTAGAACACAAGTGAATGTAAATTAGGCTCTACTAGGTAGATCAGGTCAAAGAAAATCAGCTCCACAAACAAGAGAATCATCAAACTTTGCTTTCTTCTTTCTCCTTAAGTGAATTAGGGAAGTGCCTATTTGAGCTGCTTCCAGTGTTTTGAACTTAGACAATGTTTTATTCTTTTCCTTGTTGCCTTGGCAATGTGCTTGCATATATTGCATTCCTTAAGGTCATCTTCTTTACAGGTAGTCCTTGCCTGGTCCACTGACCTTCAGGCACTTTTCTACTCTTGCTGAGAGGAATGTAGGACCTATCCAAAGCAGTTCCTGATCACACCAGACCTTCTTTACCAAAGCTGCCTCAAGAGTTGTTCTTTATTTTAGGTGCATGCCCAGCACTAGTCATGTGCCACTGTGCAGTGGATCAGAGGGAAAATGGGTATAGAGATAAGTGGCTTTCTTCAGTGGTGGCACTAGAGCTGATGCTTTGGCCTTTATTTTAGGCCCAAGCCAGGACGACCAGGATCTGTTATGTGCTTCATGCTGTATACTAAATAAATATATGCAGAACCAGGGTGGGGCAACCACAGCTTTGAACCCCACTGCAGCCACCATCCTAGCTTGTGCCTGGTCTGTGCCAAACCTACAAGAGCCTCCTCTATTCCCTGAGGCACTTGCTTAATGACAACTCAGAGTGCTGGAATTACAGTTGTTGACTGAAGGGGTCACACTGGCATCTCGCTTAATGACTGTTTTGCTTGACAAGATTTCAGAGCCAAATATGGTAGCCAGTCAAGGCCTACCAGTATTGTCTATAGGACCCAATCCACGAAATGGAAGGAAAAATGTAATTTCCAGCATGATACAAACCACGATATAAAGATTAAAATAATTATTTTCTTTCCCATTCTACCTTTTACTCTGTAGTAGGGCCTACCATAAGACCATCTTGCAGTAACTATGTGAGATAGCTTACCTCCAAGTTCAGGCAATGTAGTCATGTATGTTCTATAAAGCAGCGGTAATGCATCATGGTTAATATGAAAATGAGGTAGATGAGGAATAAAATCATTTCCAACAAGAAAACCCATTAAAATCCAGTCATCTATTATTCTTTCAATTTCATATGGAAACGAAATCTTGTCCTGATAAATAAATGTTGATACAAATAATTAACTAAAAGTGTAAACCTTTGGCAACTGTCAACAATCTTTAGTACTCATACTTACTTTAACTGGTGAAAATTCATAGTCAATGTATTCTCTCATTAATGATAAGTGCAAAAGATGAAAAGTGGTTTCTTCTGGGGCACTTGCTCTGTAAATTATTAATACATTTCAGTAAACTAATTAAAATGTTACATTTCGTAGATTAAAATGTGAATGTTTAATACTGAAGAAATACAGTATTCTCAGTTATTTAATAGTTTTAACTTCCTTTGTTGTCATTTAACAATTTTTGCAGCAAATTACCTTTGGGATTTTTTGCCACCAAACCGGACCTCTTCTCTTAAAAGGGAGAAGTGTGGCTCATGACTTGTCAGCCCAAGAATTATCTATTAAAAGAAGTAATTTAATAGAACCAATCACTGAAAAAATGATCAATAATGAATGAATTATTCTAGCAGCTTATTATACCCCGATATCAAAGGATCTCATTGACATCTATGATAACATTGCCCCTTTCCACAATGGATAGCATACTACAAAATAAACTGTTTGCATAATGCATACAACCCTAAAAGATATCAGGGAAACCAGTAAAAACCCTGGTAACCTAAAAAGACTCTTTTTACCACACCTATTGGCATTTATAATCAAGAATCTTATTTTTTTCAAATAAATCATGTTTACATGTTTACATACCAAGTCAGCATCTAAACCATAGAGACAATGTCTTGTGTTTGGATCATGGTCAGGCTTTGTTTTTTCTGATCTAATAAATTCCATAATTTTATGTTCTCCTTCTCCTGGTGTCTGAATGAAAAGAAAAAAACAAATTAATAAATGTTGAATTAATAACATTTGATTTAAAAAGTCTTATAAAAGTAAATAGTAACCTCGTGGCCTGATAAGTAGACAGTTATGCCTTGCCAAGATTTGTCGGTGGAAATTTTCATGTTTACAAAATACTTCAGGTGTTCGTGCAACCTGGCCATGAATTCAGTCCCTAATAACAGAAATCTAAAAGTTACATTTTCATTCACTAAAAACTCAAAAATATTTTTCAAATATCATGGAAACACATATTTCTTTTAAAAAGATTTCACAATTTTTAACAGTGGTAATTATGTTAAACATGTACACAGTTACAACACAAATATAAATTTGGAAGTTAAACATAAACATCTCTATTACATTACTTCAACTATTTTCTGATTTCAGGAAATACAACCTTCTCGGGACTCCATCTTCTCCATTAGAAATCTTCTCAATCAGAAAAAAATAGTTTAGTTCGACAAAAGTAATGGGACAGTATAAAACAAGATTATTCAGACACACAGAATCCATAAATGTGTAAAACTGAGAATTTGCTTATTAACTGGCTTTAGTATAAGATGGAAGTACTTAATTGAAAAGAAAAAGCTATGGCAAGGGAATAAGGGTAGGAGAGAGCATTCAAAAACAGAGATACCTTACTGTTTAGTTTGATATCTGTGGCCTCTGATATATTTGAAATCACATTCTTTTATTTCAAGGGAATGATAAAATTTTCATGAAAATAAAAAATAAAAAACGAAGAAGTTTGAAATAATGTAGCAAAATAACAGAGTTCCCTACCTGGTGTAATGCAATTAGAATCAAATCTGGACTCAGTTGGAAGAATTTCTCCTTTTTCTAACGCCTTCTTAATTTTGTCTTCTGCTTCCCTTGCTGACCTATAACAACACTTTGTGGCTTAGTCTGTAATAATCTGATGGCTACATATGTATTATAATCTCACAACACTTCCGTAGAGATTATGGTAGAAATATCTTCAGACTACGGACAGACTTCGGAGGAGAATACCCAGCCCATCACTTGCTCACACATAATGTATAATTTCCTTAGCTAAATTAATTTAATAAAAGTTTAATATTATTTAACTTTCATTACTATAAAGCTATAATGTTGCACGTAATAGAACAGTTAGCAACATTGGTAACATTGAATCTATAGATAAAATCATCCAAGTAGTTGTGAAACAAGTCCAGCACCTCTCCCTGAACTGAGAACAAGCCTAGGGCTTGCTTGGCAGCTATCTGATGAAAACACTTAAAGAATTTTACTGAAAAAGACCAAGTAAACAATCTATATTCTTTCCTATATTAGACTAAGAAAGGCATACCATAGCTTAGAGAGGCACTACCATTTTGAGGGACCAAAACTGTACGTAGCCCCAGAAATCTGAAACTATCATTCTAATATAAAAGATAGGAGAAATTAACATGTAATTAAGGGATAATTATATACTAACTGTATTTAATAAATGAAACTGATTTTAGTTAGTCATAACATAAATTAAACTATAACTTGCATTTTGGAAAGTAGACCATGAAATGCTAAAAAGGTACATACTCTAATACAATAAAGCATGAAAAATGACTGGATGAAAATACTTGATTCAAATGTAGTTGTAAAGTGAAATGTCACATGCTTATGCAGACATATGACATCAATTCTGGCTGCAGTCATGAAGTGAATCACTGCAGGTCATTAAATATGATGTCATAGGACTACAACTTAAAGTTCCTGCTGGCTTCTTCACAGAATTTGGTGGTGAAATTTGCAAATGGAGATCACGTGACTGTGTAACAGTTGTAAATGCACACCAGATACCAAGCAACTGCATTATGATCACATGACTATGGAGACACTACAATGGTAGCAACTTAGAGGACCAGTTGTAAGTCTATTTTTTCAGCACCACTGTAACTTTGAACATTCTCAAATGAGTTCAATGGTCAGTAAGCAAGGACCACCTGTACTATCTTTCTCCACACAGCTTTCCTTCAGAAAGGAATGATTGGGTTGAAGCCAGCACCACTTATTCCCCCTTAGCAGGGGTGGGATTCAAATTTTTTAACAATTGGTTCTGTGAGCATGGCTTAGTTGGTGGGCGTGGCTTGGTCATGTGACTGGGTGGATGTGGCTTGGTGGTCATGTTATTGGCTGGGCGTGGCCAACTCAATATCACTCACATCGAGGCACGCATCTCCTCGCCTGGCCTCTCATGACTGTGGGGATGCTGCAACAGTCGTAAGTGTAAAAAATGGTCATAAGTCACTTTTTTCAGTGCCATTGTAACTTGTACCAGCAAAGGAGGGAAAAAAACTCCAGAGACGTTCCTGAGACAGGAAGTCTAGTCCTGCCAAGAATGTAATAAGGGTTAACGGAGAGGCAGTTTCTGTAAAGCAATACCAGAATGTTTCCTTCATGCTTTCCTTACAGGATTAGGCCAGTAATTTCTTCTAACAACCAGTTCTCCAAACTTCTTAGAATGTTAACAATCGGTTCTACCGAATAGTTGCGAACTGGTAGAATCCCACTCCTGCCCCTTAGGTTTCCCTTTGGGATACCAATGGCCAGTTTGTTACCAATAGCATTGAATGAGCAATCCTACATTCATTCCTATAAATAATCATGAGTATGAAGAAATAAGCATATTACATCAGTCTGTAGGAATGACAAAGAAACCAGTGAAAACAAATCAAAAACCCATTTTATGTACATACCTAAAACGTCTGCCACGTTGCTGGTTCATTTTTGCTCTTGGAGCTACTCCATCAACTGCCATAAAAAAAACTTTTCTTGGTTTAATAATGCGAAATAAAACTTCTAAATAGTGAAATATATCAGCAAAGACCTTATCTTCAGAGATTCGGAAATGAACATCATCATCATTAGGATGTGAACATTGATGAATAATGCCATTCATGTCCAAATATAAGTTGTCAAATTCTGGAATCTAGAAAACATATTAAATATAGAAGTTCTATTAGTCAAGTTTTAATTAAGTTACATTTCTTCTATGAAAATTGTACTTTGCATTAGCTAATTTCATTTTATATCTCTATTTGGAAAACACATAGGCTAATATTCAACATATTCTGCATATAGGCGGCCACCTAATTAAAAATAAAACTCAGAAAGTGATAAAAATAAGGAAGCTTTTTACCATTTAATAATGACTCTGTAGTGATTACATTAGTTTTAATTCTAAACTCTTTCATTTTGAATAGTGCCAGAACTTCTCAAAAAGGGCATTACATCCATCCATATTTATTTATTTAGAGAATTTATATAATCATCCACTCACTTTCAATGACTTTTGGCATTCTACAAACAATAAAAAACCTAATATAAAAAGAGTAAAAACAATACCTCCCCCCCACCAGGTGGCAGCAAGCACTCAAATAAGCCACTTAATGGGCTCCATCCCACTTTGGGTTTCCAAGCCCATTGGCAAAACTAGACCTTCAGGGCCTTGTGAAAGAGTGTCAAAGTAGGAGCCAGTCTAATCTCCATGGAGATGATGTTCTAAAGGAAGGGAGCCACCATGGAGAAAGGTCTTCCCGCCAGATCTACTTCCTTAGGAAAAGGAAACTGCAACAACATTCCCTGCCTCCCCGCTCTAGTGAGTCAGGTGGATGTAACTGGAAAGAGATGGTCTCAAGCCATGTAGAGCTTTAAAGATAACAGCCAGCACCTTGAATTGCACCCAGAAGCAATCAGCAGCCAATGCAGCTCCTGCAGGAGAGCTGACACCTGGGTCTGTACAAAACCATATAGGCCACTGCATTTTGAACTAAGTGGAGCTTCCAGATGCTTTTCAAAGGCAGCCCCATGTAGAGCATGTTGCAATAGTCAAGATGAGAGGTGACTGGGACCAGGAAAGGGTTTAACTGGTTCACACCCTGCAGTTACACAAAGGCCCTCCTGGCCATGATTACCACCTGCTCCTCAAGCAGAAGTCATGAGACTCCCAGATTGCTCACTGGGTCTGTTTGGGGCAATGTAACCCCATCCAAGACCAGAGATGGCAATTCTCCATGGATCAAAGAATCCCAACTCAGAGCCACTTGGTCTTGCTAGGGTTCAGTTTCACCTGTTGCTCCCCATCCAGCCCTTAACAACCTCCAAGCAACGCTACTTAATTTGAAACAGTCCAATTCAAAACATTTTGCACATTATTAACTTGTAAAACATTACAATGTAAAATCGTAACAAATGGCACAGAAGTTCCAGTTTTAATATTTCAGAACTTCAAAAGCATATCTGACTGAAGCATATCACTTACCAGAATAGCCAATGTCCTATAAGAGTATTAAGATAGGTTTCAATTCTGCTTTGCTGATTAAGATGCAAGAAACACAATCCAATGAGTCACACCTATTAATTTTCTCATTACAAAACTTACTGGAGATGCTGAACTTCACAATATGTTCCAAATATTTGCATGTTATAAATTAATGGGCAGTGCTAAATTTTAATAACACTAACTCATGCTGAAATCTATGCTCTGCTATAAAATGATTGTTATCATTCAATCTTTGTGCCCATCCTTGTGCCCATAGACCACAGTTGCCAACCAGGCTTTTAACATATTAATTCTTTGCCCACCTAATTTGGTCAGCCTTCACTGGGAGACAAAAAGAAATTTCACAATTATTATTTCATTTATGATGAGGATGACTTTGAATTACTGTGCTACTTCATGTATTGGCAGTGAAGAGAGTAAGCTTGAAAGTTCAACCCTTTTCTTGTAGAAATGGGCTTTGGAATCATTATTGCACCAATAAGGACAATATAGCATCTCTCTCTATATATGGGTGAAAACTATGCATATGAATCTCCTCAGAAATATATATATGTGAGTAGTTAGATTTATATATACATTAAATTATAATGCAGCTGATTTACATCTGACTGAACCTTCTAGGAACCTTGCTCATATGTACAAAAACTATGTTTCCAACAAAAGGTATAGCATCATATTTTACATGACTTAATTTCTAAAAGCTGTGGCCCACCAAATTATATATGATTAAAATGTTACTTATCTTCACAAAAACAGCAAGATCCAAATGTTTTTATTTTATTATATCCAAAATATAATACAGCAAGTATATAGAAATGTTTAATAATGAACTTATAAGTGAACAGAATTCTTATGAATTCACCATGCTTTGCTTTACCATTTTAATACCAAAATATGTAAATACTTTAACCCATACAAAAAGTATTAAAATAAAGCAAAATAAAATGAGAAAAGATATTTAAAAAATGGGAATCAGAGACATAAAATGTAACATAAAAGGCACTGAAAATATGCAATAGTGTGAAACAGTTATCGTGTTTATTATTTATTAAAAATTATTTGAGGATTTACATTTTGAAGTGATTAAAGAAAAAGGCAGTAAGCATACATTTTTCAGGCCAAAAATGTTATATTCAGATAGTCTACAACTTACGACCACAATGGAGCCCAACATTTATGTTGCTAAGTGAGAAATTTGTGAGAAAAATAAGTGAAAAGAGCTGTGTTGGTGCAGTGGTTAGAATGCGGTACTGCAGAGGCGTTCAATTCTGATCAGCTCAAGGTTGACTCATCCTTCCAACGTTGATAAAATGAAGACCTGAATTGTTGGGGCAATATGCTGATTCTGTAAACCACTTAAGAGAGGGCTGTAAAGCACTGTGAAGCAGTATATAAGTCTAAGTGCTATTGCTATTTGTTGAGTTTTGTCCCATTTACGACTTTTCTTGCAACATTTGTTAAGTGAATCACACTGTAGTTAAATCAGTAATATGGTTGTTAAGTGAATTTGACTTTGCTTGTCAGGTCGTCGCAAAAGTTGATCACATGACCCCAGGACACTGCAACCATCATAAATGTGAGTCAGTTGTCAAGCATCCAAATGTAAATCATGTGACTATGTGGATGCTATAATGGTCATAACTGTGAACAATGGTCACAAGTCACCATTGTTGACTTCATAGAGTATAACTATTCCTAAACTCTGATTCAATAAGAATTTCATACGATTACTTGTGTAATTCTGCTAGTTAGGAGTACAGTATTGTTTCTTTCCCTCTTTCTCAGCATAACATATTATTGTTCTTCATTCTTTGTTTTGAATTCTTTGTATGCCTTTCAATTGTTGGCTAGTACAGAAGAAACTTTATTGAATTTTTAATGTAACAGACATGAGGAATATTAATTTTCCCAACATGTTCCACATTCTCAGCAATCTACTCCTCTTCTTCCCCTAGTCTGTTAAAAAGATAAAGTACACTAGGATGCAATGTGCTTTATAAATCCGATTTAAATTTTAAAACAATACTAATAAGAGGAGATGTAATCTTAAACACGCTGTTGGGCTAAAAAGGAAAAGAAAATATTTCTAATGACGTAGACAGTTTTTCCTACGACATCATGAAGCAGAACTGAAAATAAATTGGCAGGCTCCAGACAGCAGGAGAGCCCGCCACTCTTTTCTCCGCGGCTTCCCACACGAAATGAAAACTGCGAGGTCTCTGGGAGTTTCACAAAACTCTTTTCAGACCCGCGTTTGTTCTCAAATGAGAAACCGCCGCTGACATTCGCGGTTAGGGGTCAAAGACACCCGGACAGAAAGAAAAGGTTGGAATGTGTTTGAATATTAGTAAGTTATAGCTTTTCTCTCGGGTTCACTCCTGTTCTCCACCAATTTCCCCTCTCCTGAAAAAAGATAAAGTGGCCTAAAACTCATAGCCAGGGCAAAAAGGAAAAAAAAAATATGGAAGAACTGCCAGCAAGTCAGTAATCCAAAATGGTAACTCCGTCACGGCGCTTTCCAGGTGGGGATCCACGCAACAATTCCAGAGGCAGGCGCGGCTTTGTTGCCAGACCTGTCCATCACACCAGAGGCCCCTCACGAAGGAAGAAGAGAATCGCCCCGGGTGCGACGGCTAGGCAGCCTCTCAGCTTCCCTCTCCAGAGCAGGGAAGCGCAAACCGCAGCTGCTCACCTGATGCTCCTTCACCACCTGACTGAGGCAAGGATACCGCTCCGAGACCCACCGATAAAACTTCGGCACCCCCATAGCGGCCGGCTTCTGCCCTTCCTCTTTAAGCCACTCGGACCCAAACAACCGCCTTTGCACCTTTCCTCTCAGGCAAAGCGCTTCCTTCCGCCAAGGCCCCAAACCATAGAGCGGGCCTCACCAGAGCGGACGACTCAGCGTCGGAAATCAAAGGCGGGCGGCGGTTTCTTATTGGACGTCGTGAGAATTGCAGGTTTGCTCTCATCCTATATCGGCCGAAGTTTCCCCTTGTTACAGTAGTATTAGGTGATGGAGGAGAAAAAGAGGCGGGAAGTAATTTTTTCGGTCCCTAGGTTGCCATCAGACAGTAGGGCAGAGGATTAAAAAAATAATAATAATCCCTTGGAATGAGTGGACGAAACGGCAGCAAGGAAACGAATAAGTAAAATCAAACTAAATAGGAAATGGATTTCTGATGAAACATTTAAGCTTCTCTTAATATGCTAGGAAATCGGCACCTAGCCGCAATCAATATACAGTATATTAGAGATGAAGTTGGCAAGCAGAGGAAGGTAGAAATGGGAAAGTTCTTCTGGCCCTAGCCGGGGTGGGATTGGTAGAGGTGAAGCGTAACTCTAGTTCAGTGTTGAGTATCGTATATAACCAGTTATTGGGTGCCTGGGAGAGTGGGTTGAGGTAGCTGAAAGGACATGGAGAAGTATGGTAGAAGGGAAGGCATTGCTCATATGTGCTGCTAAGAGCTGGCTAGATAATGAGCCCCTCTTACTGAGATGGGTCCAGGAGTTTCATGTCTTGCTTTATTCCTGTCCTAAGCAAGAAAGGTATTATGGCAGTTATGTGCCTGGCTATTGTGAACGCTGTTTGGCATGAGAGGTTAAGCTAAAGGGACAAAATGGAGTTGCTGCTATTGTGCGGTTCTAACAGGTATGGCAGCATCCCTCCTTGGACTGCTTGATTTAACTGATACAGAATTGCTCAGACTATTGGTACTGGCTAATTTTAACCTTTGCTCACTGAGATTGGAGGTAATTTAGGAGTTATATCTGCAGTGGCACTACAGACTTATCAGCCACTCAACCTCTACATTGCTGCCACACATTAGACCTAGTCCTAACTTTGGAAATATGAAATGGGTTCTGGAGAATATCTCCACCATATCTATGCATCCGTAATATTGGGGTTAACCCAAACTACAACTATTGCAAACAGAGCTGGCTAATTAAAATAGTTCACTCGGAGTATCTGATGAATTAGATTTTCAGAGATCGTTTGGATACAATGAATACAAATGAATCCTTTAGAAATGTTATGGGACACGAGAAATAATTAACTTCCTTTTCCCCTTCGCTAATTCTATTGGGCTGTAGTATACAGTGTCTTATTTCAGTGGAAAGATACCAGCTAGAAACAGCTGTGGATTCTAATTTACTTCAAGTGTAGTAACATGATTAAAAATGAAATTATTCTTGAGGAAATTAGTTTAATTGGAAGTTAAGCCAATTCTTATTTTAATACAGTTGTGCAATACTTCATACTTACTCCCAAAAGTGCTTTGGGGTACATGGGAACAATGTTTATTCCACCTACAATACCTGAAAAAAGATGCTTACTGTCCATTTCTTCCTAACCCTGACTCTATAATTTCTCCCAGTTATATTATTAAAAGTTGAATAGATATGACTATTATAGTTAGCTTCAGTGTTCGCCATATCTCATCTAAAGCATTATTTCTAACTCTGGTTAACACTTTCAAGGATTCAAATAAATTAATTTGGGACCTGGCAGTGAGAATATTAGGGACACAAAAATCTACAAATCTTATGAACAGATTGAAGGAGGTATGCATATTTAGCCTTGAGAACTCAAGGTTTTAGTAGAGATTGACAGTAATTGTCATGCCCCTGGTGGAGACTGATTCTGAGGGAGAGGAGGAACAGCTGACAGGGAGTGGAAGTGTGGCTCCAGAGGTTGTGGAGGAGGCTGGGGAAGGGCAGAGGGAGCTGGGCAGTCAGAGGAAGACCCAGGCCCATCCCCTCTCCATCCTAGGGCACGCAGGGAGCAGAGGATAAGGAAGAGAAGTGGTCTATGGGTTGGCCTTGATCCTTTTCATGGGCTGCAGCTGTGGCAACTGGATAAGAGGACGGACATGCGTACGGGCCAGTGCTAGAAACAAAGCGTGGAAATATCTCTATTGTTCCTTTCTGAGTTTGGCGTCCTTCCCAGTGTGTGTTCTGATATCTGTGGACGTTTTCCAGCCCTTATCTTGCCTGGTTTGTGTTGTTTTTTACTCTTTATAATTTAAACGGCATTTCCTCCTCCTTGTAACTGCTTGTTTAGGAGTTTTTTGTCTCCAGTCAAGGATATTTGGAACTTTGAAGCAAAGTGAAGGAATAAAAGGGGCTTCACCTGTTTTTTGTGACTGTTTATTTTGTATCCCACCCTGGGTCATCACAGTAATCTTCAGATATCTGAAAAAATGTCACAGAGGACTATTATCAATTGTGCTGAAATGCAGGTTACAGGACACAGAATATTTACTTAATTTCTGGAAGTCAGATTCCAAACGAATGGAAACTTGGCTGACAGCAACAGCTATTTGATAGTGGAACAAAAGACATCTGATGTCTTTCAAATAATTTATTCTACTGAAAAATAGGATCTTACCCATAGAATATAGTGAAATAGATGCAAATAAGCAAATACACACATTCTTAAAGGATCATTATTGAAAATAATAATGGAGGTTCATCTGCATATAGCTATCATAAAATCAGTATGATCAATGTTTTGGGTAAAGTACAACAGTCTTTAATAATAGTAATAGACATATTCTTTACGTGAAAATTATTCTAAGAATAATTCTCAGTGAAGTATTCCCTTTCTCATTCATTGTTACTGTTGAAAGATTTAATATTTGAATCCACTGAAATCCAGTCATTCTCCTTTCTTAAGTATGTAGACCAGCTACAATTTTTTGACTCTCATTTTTCTCCTTTATTCTCATCTGACTTACCCTATTATATATCCAGTATCGTTAACATTCCTAGCTCAAAGACCTACTATTTATTATTGTTTTATTAAGCTTGTGGAAACAGCATTGTGATAAACATAATAACTTGCATTTTGTAGTCTTTCCACTGTATCAGTGGAAACAGTATTTATATCCAATATAAATACTGAAACACTGATCTGCATTAGCAGAATTTACTAACTTTAAAAAAAACTAAGATTTGTTGTCTGCAAATGACAGCATATCACATATACGGTGCCCAACCAAGATACATCTGACACAGCAAGTTTTCATCAGTTGAATCTTGAATAAGATGGTGAACATGTCCTTCAATTGACAATGGTAGGCCCTTTACCCTGTTCCTATTTTTTATTACACCCTGTAGCCGCTGCTCTATATCTTGCACATGAGTCTTGGCCTGAAAAACAAAAAATAATCTACATAAGAAAAAGATGTCATCAGTTACTAGAAGCTAAATTTTTAGTGGTAAGTATTCGATCTTTCTCCTTCCAACATAAAAGATTGAGTTTCCACTGAAGGTTTATTGAATTATATAAAATTGAGTACTGTGAACTATACACTAAGCCATAAATTACAATTTACAATACATACTATATAATATATACTTATTACATTAAACCAATCCAATAACTGTATGGTTTAACAGCATAGTGAATGAACTCTGGAACTATCTAGTAGACACTTATGGATGTCCCAGTCAAACTAGGAGCATATAGATGACACCATCTTAAATGTTGCTGGGAAACTGGCACTTCCTAAAATATACTTTTAATTTACATTAATATTATATTTATATTGATTTACATATATAAAAAAAAAAAATCAACAGCAGACTAATTATGTTCAACGCCATTGCAGACAAGAGGATTGATTACATGCACCCCTATCTTCCTATGCAGAGGTGAAAAGGAAAATGGGGGGGGGGGGGGGGGGAATGAGCTCTTGGAGCTAACATTCTCTAGGATTTTATCCCCATCCCAGCAGTAAAAAAAGCTGATTAAACTTCTATTAGTCATTTTCCTATCAGAAAATATGGATGTCTAGAGAACATTAGCCATAAAGAACCCAGGCTATAATAATTCATCTAATTTCACTATTAACTGAAAAAATGATATTCAACATAGCATGCTCAGTATGTGTGTAATGTAATCCCAGCCACTGCATATATTATGGTAAGAGCTTACTATATTAATAATAAGATAAAATTCCATAAATTTTTTATTTTCATTTATATACATTAAAAAAGTGGTCAATTTCAAAACAAAAATTTCAAGCTTAATTTTGAATTCTTCATTTTTAAAAAATTCTTCATTAAAACTGATAAGAATCAGTGGATTTGATATGCGTAAAATATCCTTTGGAATTTGATTTATCAGAAATAATTTGGGGTAGTGGCTAAGATATTGGGCTAGAAACTGGGAGACCATGTGTTCTAGTCCCACCTTAGGCAGGGCCAGTAACTGTGTCTCTGCCTTAGGAAGCTGGTAATAGCAACTTCCAAAATCTTACCAGAAATCGAAAATGGATGGGAAAGTCATGGGAAAAAGGTAACGGAATGTATAATTTGGTAATAAAGCATTAAAAGTACAATCTATAAAGTTTAAATTTGATCAGCAAGTTTTTAAAGTATTATTTTTATTTATATGATAAAATTAACCTACATCACAAAAATAAGTATTTCTCAATATTATTTGGTATTAATGAATGAAATAATTAGAAAAATTAAACTGCTAGCTCATCAATATATGAGAATGACCTGATGAAAAACAAATAAGTCAAAGTTTTCAATTCTTATAGTTACCTATTCCTAATGTGTTTGCTCTTCTTGAATAAATTCAGTTATCATTCAAAGCAAGGTTATGTTGCTTAATATAATAGTGTCCATTTTAATTTGTTTACTGCCCTGGTGCAAAGTTTGAATTTTTAACCCTGAGTTTTACCAGCTTACCTTTTCATTGACAATTTCTCCAGTTTCATTTACCAAGGTTTTTGTATTGCCTCTAACTGGTTTACTCCATTCCACAAGGGGATCATGCAGAAAAGTCTTCAAAACACTAGATTTGGGAGAGAGTAAAATATTTTTACTTACATTTGTTGTAGTAAGTCTCATTAGATTTAGTTACTA